ACCAACTCTCCGTACTTAGTCGGAGTAAAATTTTCTTTTAGGCCAAGTATTGTGCTCGAGACTCTTCCCTCCCTAAATCTAAAAGTCTACTAGCCTCCTTCCACTGCTTGCCAAAGCCAGTCCATTTTAATCGAACTGTTTACTTAAAAGTGCAACTAAAGCAAATGAAAAGTTTCTTTTGCCAGCAGCGTGTCAGACTCTAAGGAGATTGTAAATTGAATTTTGATAATGTCAATCGTAGAACGGCAGAAAAGTTTTGTGCCATACTTTGCGGTTTTAAGTGGATAGTTGGCTGCATATATATGGTACATATAAAATATTTATAGACATATCCTACCGACCGACGACCAATAGCAGCAACCTTCCGTTATTGCCCCTGCGACAATCGAAGCCGAACAAAAAGGCCAATTTACATATTCACATATGCAGGGGCTCTGAGACCATAAGCCAAAAACACAATTCACCGGCAAACAACCATTTAAATCCCATCGAAAGGCCATATTTTGCAATTTGTTAACATATTTAAAGCACTCTGGTTGGGAGGACAATCGGAAAACAAACAACTGTTGATTTAACTTAGTTAAATGGTTTAAGGAGGTAGAATAGATCACTATCTGAAGAGTATTAAAACTTATTAGGGTTTAAAGTATATATAACCAGTATTCAGATATAAGATATAAGATATCACAAATTATAGATAATACAGATAAATGGTGACTCTTAAGGAGGTATATCGATGATATATAATAGATCAGTTGGATCATTATGTAAAGGGTATTCTTGGCCACTATCATATAAATTAGTTTGAAAATGAATATGAGTTTTATTCTTGATATGCATATATATCAAATGTGTATGCCTATAAGAGGTACTAAAAACTATAATTATAGCTTTAAAATATGATTTTAAAATGTGATCTTAAGATACATGTAAGTATTGGTTAGATATCTTTAAAATATAACAAATGAGTTACAGGTATAACTAACTGCAATCTTATCTTTAAAATATAGATTTCTTAAATTATTATTAAAATATTTATAGCTCAGTTTAATCTAAGATCCAGTCCATATAGTTCAATCCTTTATCAAATTTGTATTTTTCTGCCCTTAAAAATAAACTAAAAGGCTAATGCCTGGAAGTGATGCTAACTAACAAAGCTGGCACTTTAAGCTAATGACTCTCTTAAAGTCAAATTGCCGCAGGCCTCATTATGCATACAAAATGAAAGCTTATTGGCCGGACAGGCGACACAACTACACGGATTGAAAACCGGGACATGGATATGGACAGAGAACAGGGACCAGAGACCAGAGACCAGAGAGACCATGGTTCCCGGGACTTGAACGTTGCGTTACATTTCAGACAAACAAACAACAGTATGGGCAATATGAAAGTGCGCACACCACGACACAAAATCATTTGAAAGCAATTATTTCAGACAAACTGGAGGGCGGGAATCGGCATCGGCATCGGAATGGCTATGAGTATGGGAATGGGTCAGTCCGTGTTCTCGACGTACACGGCGTACAATGAATCAATTTACGGTACGTAACAAAGCCGCAATTACAAGCGCAAAGAGACAAGAAACAAAACGACAATTATGAAAAGAGCAGCGAGTGCAATTGCATTCCCAATTCGACTGACGACAACCCAACAGATTCAGATGTTGTTGCAGTTGCATCTGTTGCTGCCGCTGCCGTTGCTGTTTCTGCTGCTGTCGATGCAATGTACAATTTTTGGGGGCACTCTAAATGACGCAGAGGACTGGACATGTGAACGTTTTTGCCAAAAGGCATTTCTTGGTGTTTGGTCTTCTTTTTTTTTTTTTTTGGTTGTTTTTTTGTTGGTTCTGAGACCCGCGTGTCAATTCTAATGGATAATTGTCGGGCTCGAATGCCAACGTGGGGCATTCTTGGCCAGAACAAAGGGGTAGTACTGGATAGATTAGCACAGAAGCACTTGTTGATATCTGTTCAAGTTTAAAGAGAACTTTAGTCCTAAAAAGCACTATATCTGAGAAATATCTGAGGGTACTGTATTAATTATATTGAAATATATTAGCTATATAGCTATAAACTATTTCAAACTCTAATTTGAGTTAATAATAATAAAGAAAGGTGCAGTATGAGTAACGAAACTATGATCTAGCTATACCAATATACATTGATCTACAGGTTTCAAGAAGATGAGGTATTGGGTAGTATTTTATTTATCCATCTTACATAGTATTACCTCACAATATAAAGATATTTTTAAAATTGATAAAAATTAGTATTTAAAATGTAATAGAGAAGTAAGTACATATTTTTTGATAATTTTAAGATATTATTAGAAACTTATAGCATCTATGCCTTATATCTTTAGTCTTTCTAAGTAACATCTCCCTAGAAAGGTACTAAAATGATCGATCACATCCCAAACCGATCTCTCTCGCTCGATGTTTGCTGCATTTGCACTAAAAATACATTGGCAGAGTGAATTGTATTAATAGCAGGGCATTTATTTAGTTATTTCAAAGATTTCTTTTATTTTCTTGCATGTGTTTTTATTTATTTGCATTTTCTTTCTGCCTTTGTGTTTATTTACTTTGCTATTTTGTGCTTTGGCTAGTGCATCGAGCTAAAGATCTTCCTTAATTTCTATGGGGGCCCTTCAAAAGATTTCAAAAAAAAAACTTGCCAAAAGAGTGGGAGGTGGGTGTTGGCGGTGGGGATGGAGGGAAGCAGAAGGGTCGGAGGGGCAGTAGCGTTCAAAATTACTGAGCCGTGGCGATCGCCGCGCCAGTCAACGAAACTGTGAATGGAATTGTATTCGCATGTATTTCAACGATATTCGCCAAGTTGCACAACGAAAATAGAGACAGAGATGGGAATGGAAATGGAAATGGAGAGAGACAGATACAGATACAGATGCAGAGATGCAGTCTGAGATGCGGATGCATCTGTATCTGTATCTGGGCAGCGTCATCAAAAGGTATTTTGCATTAATTCAAGATTTATGCATTCAACATTCACTAGGTGCTGCATTTCCCATTCGCATCGCCACAAAACTTTTACCCAACTCGATGTTGCAAGTGATGTTGCATATTGCAGAAAAAAAAAGATCACCTCAGATATATAATATTCAAGCAATATTATGGGTTATATAGTATTCTTAGTGCTTTATGATTTTCTTCTAGAAAAAACTTTGTTAAAATTATAAAATCTTTTAACCTTTAATATAGCATCTTAGAAAATTTAAATAAATTTCTCTTAGTGCATTTATCTGTTGCAGTTGTTGCACCTGCCAACATCGTCGGAGCTCAGCGAGCAGCAGGTGATCCATTTCTTTTATCCGGTGTTAGCCTCCGCTTTTCCCGCCACAAGAAACTGCCAAGGGATTTCGAGGGAGCCCAGCCTATTTTTGTGTGTTTTCGAGTTTCGAGTTTTGCCAGTTTGCCAAACTAATGCAAATAGACACCTAGAGCCGACCCCTAGCTCCCTCCCCTCCTTTGCAGCTGAAGTGCTGAAATTCACTTGGGTTATACAATTTGCAGTATTTTGATAATAGATATATATATATTTATACATCCATGGGGATGGAAGAGGTAGTATATTGTATGTATATGCATGAACTGCATAATTTATGGGCATTGCGTGTTCAATGGATTGCGACGGCTGTCCGTGCCATATGGCTCTACCTATCTCTCCTCTATATTTCTTTTTTATCTCCAAATTGTGATTTAAGGGAAGCTGCACGAAGAGAGAGGTGATTTCTGGGTTGGCTGGTTGTTTGCTAATTAAAATGACAGGGAGGAGCTCATAATATTCAGCTATTCAACTATGGGAAAGGAAATAATAAATACTAAAGAGGGCTCTCCTCTGCGCTTCTCATAAGATCTACTTAAGAAAGTGTCTTCAGACACTTCTTCAAGCTCCTTATAAGATCTTGCTAAGGAAACTAAATTTATTTACTTTAAAATATTATACTAACAATATCAATGATTAAATTTTTTGAGAAAATAATAAATATGCCTCTCCTCCTCGCTTCTCATAAAATCTAGCTAATGAATTTCAAAGAAATCGTCAAAAAAATAACCAAAAATATTATATTCAAATCGTCAAATGGCGCTGACTATTTCCATAATTTGCGCACTTTATGAGTTGCGTCAAAAGTCCATTCCCCAATTCCATCATCGCCTCGAATCAGTGCCACCAGAGCCACTTGACTGGCAATCACTGAATCACTCATTTGTTTGTCTGACTTTCTGACCCGCCCACCGATGCAGTAAAAATCCACCCCGCTCACCCAAAACTAAACCAAAAACTGATGCAAATTATCAGCAATGCAGTTCGCAATTAATCTGCTGCATATGACACCGCAATCACAACTTAACCCATTTTGCTGCAGCACAGACGCACAATTATACTATATTATATGCGTTAGTACGAGTAGCATAAAGTAATAAATGTTGGATGAGGAGCTGATGATGGGCGCTGGGGAATCGGTCTGATAATTATCAAACTGTAGCCGGAAGGACGAATGCGAGCCGAATCGTGCTCAGAGAGCAGTAACTGCATTGCACTAAAGCACTAAGCCGAATGGCTTTAATTGAATTTTGATGTCCTTGGCAAATTGTTTTCTAATTAGTTTCGCAGACTTGGATCCCCAGCCGGGACGTCCTTAAGTCCTGACCAGTTCCGGTCCCAGTTGACATACAAAAACTTTCTGTCAACAACTCTAACTGCCTTAACACAGAGACTCCGTATCCCTTCGTCCACTGCCCTGCTCTTCAATAATGAAAAACTTAAACTTAAACAATTAATGCCACGTCCACGACCCCAAACAAAATACAGAAAAAAAAATAAATTGATGTTGTCTAAGTTTTTTTTCACTTCGAAGACTGTATGCTCTAAGCTTTTTAAAGTTTCAATATTTTTATTAGAGTTTTTTTTTTCTATAACTCATAGGGAAATATTAAATCGAGCTCTCCTTCATGCTTCCCATAATTTCCAACTTACCCAGGATCATTGGGCACCTCGGATGGGGAACAGGGTCCCAGCTCCACTTGCTGTTGTTGTTGCTGCTGCTGCTCAATCTTGATGTCCATGTTGGGGGCTTTTGGTCCAGGATTCTTGACGTAACTCTGGATAGGGGGTCCTGTTGTAGTCTACAACTGTCTGTCCTGCTATTCTATTTCTATAATTGTTGGTGCAACGCCTTCTTCTTTCCGGGCATCGAAGGCTGCGGTAGGTGGCCGAGTGGTTTAGTGGCTAAGTGGGTTTTAGTGGTTGCACGTATCTGGGAGTGGGTGTGTCTGTCTGTCTGTGTATGTGGGGGTTATATGTGTGTCTATGTGGTGGGTGGACGGGGATGCTGCTTCTACGAGATGGCTAACAAAGTGTTCCCTTAATCATTGGCCACTTTGGCAGCTAGTAGGCTATTTGATTGGCTCGATTGCTGGTGCTCCTTGATTTCCATTTGGCTTTATGGTCTCTCCCTGGCTTTTTTTTCACTTCCTTTCCATTCGATTGAACTTTTTTTGTATTTTTTTTTTGTTGAACTTTTTACTAATAATCGTTTTATGGTTACATTGCACACTTTTGAATCACATTTCTTGGTTGTTTTATTTGCTTGGTTTTGCAGGCCACTTTTGGTTGATTTTTTTTTATTTGAATTTTTTTCTTTTTAATTAAAATTACTTATATTTTGTTGTAGTTTAGTTTTAGAAACGTTGCGTTAACTTTTGTTGTTGGTTTCTCAATTGATTTAAAGGCAACATATTACTGCAAAGATCTGGTTTGTTTTCATTAGTTATGTTGTGTTTTAGACAGAAATTAATTAAATTGCAATTTTCAACTTTTTTGAGGGGAAACCAACTTTGAAAAGGCAATTCTCTCCCCCACTGCCCCTTTCTCTCATTTACAGCTGCTGGGCCGCTCCACCCGCGTAAAATGCAATGATTCGCAACGAACAATCGTAAAATGCAAAAAAGTGCAACGGATGGGTGGTTGGGTGGGTGCTGAGGTGGTCGAGGCAAGTAGAAAAGAAGAATGAGCAGGTAAATAATAGGGTGGTAGGGGGTGGCTGAGCGACAATTGGGATGCGACTCGGTCGGTGAAAAGAGATCTGCTCTTTTTGTCTCATTTTATACGAGGCACAAGTCATCAAATGGATTTATTAGAATGAGACAAGTATCTTGAAGCTTTAAAACTGATTATAGTTATTTTATTTAAATTAAAATTATTCAGATTTTTATAACTACTTTAAAACACCTGAGAACTTAAGCCCCCTTCTGTTTATTATTATTTATTTTTTGTTAAAAACCCAAAAGTCAAAACGCAGCAAGCCAATTTTTATGGCTCTGAACTTTTGTTGTTGCTGCCCATTATTTTCCCTGGCTCTTTTCCCTACGTGAAATTCTATTTTTTATTTTTATTTTTTTTTTTTTTGCATTTTCTGGGGTTTAATACGCGTCTTGATCTTTCCCACACCCACAATAAAACAACAACAACAACAGCCAGATACGATAGAGAGGTGGCAAGAAACGTGTGGGGGGTATGAAGAACATTGCATGCAGTGACTCCCTCAACAAAATAAAAACAAAAACAACAATAATAACGCGCAGCATGCAAGCTTTCACAAACAGACACTCACAAACACATACAAGAAGACACACACACAATCACACACACATAAAGTCAGTAGAGAACATGCACCGTTACAACGAGAGCAGAAGTTAACTGGCGGCAGCAACAAACACGTGACCCGACAATTGCGACAATTGGCAGCAGTATGAAATAAACCAAAATAAAACAACGATCGCCACGAGATGAGAAACTATTTGTTCCTCTCATTCCCGATCTGTAGAAATCGAAGAAATCTAAATCGTGTGTACATGTTCCCGTTATGTTAACAGCCGGTAGCCATTTTGTATGGACAGTAATGGAGAACATGGTGTTGTTTCTTTGAATTATTAGGTTTATTATTTCTTAAGATTTATGAAAACTAAATGAAATATTAAAATGATTGATTTTATTGGAAGTTTCTTTAAAGTTTATTATTGAAGATTTTAGATTTCAAAGATCCTTCTTCCATTGCTCTGCCCATTTGCCGGCCGGCAGCCAATTTTGCAAGAGCTATCTACCAAAGCTAACGGCCTTTAAGGCTTTTAAGGAAACAGGGGAGAGAATTACGTTGTATTGGTATTTATATTTTATTTATTTATTTGTAAATAAAATCGAATATCGCACACTTTTATTTATTTTCCTTTTTTTTTTTTGATATTTTTATTTTATTATATAATCGTCAAATTGCACTCCACACAGCCATCAAGGTAAACAAAATGCAATTGCCCCAAACTGTCGTATGGTTTTGTTTTGTGTTTTTTTATTCGCCTGTTGTGTTTGCTTAATGTTTTTACACGCACTTCTCGGTTACTCTAAAAATCGGGACTCGACTCGACTCGACTCGAGTGGAATATAATTGCAATTATAATGCAGGCGGCAGGCGGTGGCGATTTATTTTTGCAGTGCGCGCACACGAACGCGACAACCAACAAAGAGCGAGTGAGAAGCGAAAAGTGAGGCCCCAAAACACAACTAGCGGCGGCCCCAAACGACGGCAGTCTTCAGGCCGATTGTTGTTGTTGCCGCACGAGTAAAGCTTTGCGGCGGCAGCGGCAGCGCAGCCAGCAGCGGCAGCAACTGCGGCAATTGCACTATTTAACGCGAGCCGGCTCCACAGGGCGCATGTGCACTGTTTTTGTTGCAGCATCACAGCTGATAAGTGATAAGCGGCCGCCACAGTAGAATTTGAGAGAGAAATGATAAAGAGAAATGACCGGCGAAGAGAAAGAAGCTCTCTTAAAAAGGGGAAGCTTTCAATGCTTACACTGTAAGAAAATATTGATATTATATTTATTATATTGAAATATCATATTGAAATAATATTAAATTGAAGAATTGAAGGCAACCATCCAAAAAAATTAGAATAGAAAACCAAACGTTAAAAACAAACTAATAAAAACTAAACACAAGAATATTGAAGAAATATATTTTGTTTTCAGAATGATGGAGATTAGATCTACAAATCGTTTAAGGTGTTCCGCTCAATAATCGGATAAGTATTTCCAAAGATATGGCGATATCTGTGGGCAAAATAGTGGCTCCATGCATTTTTGTGGATTTTGTAAGGGGTCCCATTAGAAAATTTGAAAAAAATCTAAAAAATATTTTGTTCTCAGATTTTGATGCAGATTTATGGAGAATACATCTACAAATCATTTAAGGTAGTCTGCTTAAGAATCGGATAAATATTTCCAAAGATATGGCGATATCTGTGGGCAAAATAGTGGCTCCATGCATTTTTGTGGATTTTGTAAGGGGTCCCATCAGAAAATTTAAAAAAAAATCTAAAAAATATTTTGTTCACAGATTTTGATGCAGATTTATGGAGAATAGGTCTACAAATCGTTTAAGGTGTTCCGCTCAAGAATCGGATGAGTATTTCCAATGATATGGCGATATCTGTGGGCAAAATAGTGGCTCCATGCATTTTTGTGAATTTTGTAAGGGGTCCCATCAGAAAATTTGAAAAAAATCTAAAAAATATTTTGTTCTCAGATTTTGATGCAGATTTATGGAGAATACATCTACAAATCATTTAAGGTAGTCCGCTTAAGAATCGAATAAATATTTCCAAAGATATGGCGATATCTGTGGGCAAAATAGTGGCTCCATGCATTTTTGTGAATTTTGTAAGGGGTCCCATCAGAAAATTTGAAAAAAAATCTAAAAAATATTTTGTTCACAGATTTTGATGCAGATTAATGGAGAATAGATCTAGAAATCGTTTAAGGTAATCCGCTCAAGAATCGGATAATTATTTATTGATATGGCGATATCTGTGGGCCAAATAGTGGCTCCATGCATTTTTGTGAATTTTTGAAGGGCTCCACCAAAAAATTTGAAAAAAAACTAAAAAATATTTTGTTCTCAGATTTGGATTCAGATTTATGGAGAATAGATCTACAACTCGTTTAAGGTGTTCCGCTCAAGAATCAGATAAGTATTTCCAAAGATATGGCGATATCTGTGGGGCCAATAGTGGCTCCATGCATTTAAGTGAATTTTTAAAGGGACCACATCAGAAAATTTAAAAAAAATCTAAAAAATATTTTGTTTCCTGATTTTAATGCAGATTTACGGAGAATAGATCTACAAATAGTTTGAGGTGCTCCGCTCAAGAATCGGATAAGTATTTCCAAAGATATAGCGTTATCTGTGGGGCAAATAGTGGCTCCATGCATTTTTGTGAATTTTGTAAGGGGTCCCATCAGAAAATTTGAAAAAAAATCTAAAAAATATTTTGTTCACAGATTTTGATGAAGATTTATGGAGAATAGATCTACAAATCATTTAAGGTAATCCGCTTAAGAATCGAATAAATATTTCCAAAGATATGGCGATATCTGTGGGCAAAATAGTGGCTCCATGCATTTTTGTGAATTTTGTAAGGGGTCCCATCAGAAAATTTGAAAAAAAATCTAAAAAATATTTTGTTCACAGATTTTGATGCAGATTTATGGAGAATAGATCTACAAATAGTTTGAGGTGCTCCGCTCAAGAATCGGATAAGTATTTCCAAAGATATAGCGTTATCTGTGGGGCAAATAGTGGCTCCATGCATTTTTGTGAATTTTGTAAGGGGTCCCATCAGAAAATTTGAAAAAAAATCTAAAAAATATTTTGTTCACAGATTTTGATGCAGGTTTATGGAGAATAGATCTACAAATCGTTTAAGGTGTCCCGCTCCAGAATCGGATCAGTATTCCCAAAGATATAGCGATATCTGTGGACCAAATAGTGGTTCCATGCATTTTTGTGAATTTTTGAAGGGCTCCACCAAAAAATTTGAAAAAAAACTAAAAAATATTTTGTTCTCAGATTTGGATTCAGATTTATGGAGAATAGATCTACAACTCGTTTAAGGTGTTCCGCTCAAGAATCAGATAAGTATTTCCAAAGATATGGCGATATCTGTGGGGCCAATAGTGGCTCCATGCATTTAAGTGAATTTTTAAAGGGACCACATCAGAAAATTTAAAAAAAATCTAAAAAATATATTGTTTTTAAATTTTGATGCAGATATGTGGACATGACGGACATGTTTGAGTGACAGGTGATTCTGATCAAGAAAACAACTTTTTTGTTAGTATTTAGTAATACCACTAACCATACAGCATATAGACAACCCATTTCATACAACGAAAATGGACGCGAAAATTTCTTGCTACAGGCCCCAGCAGGCCCCAGAGCGGATTTCTTACGCTCTCTTACGCTCATCGTTCGTTCATCTTACGCTCATTCTCGCATTAAATGTTTTCTGTTTCTCAGTCTCTAAACGGAGCGCGATGAAGAAGGTTGGCCTGCGCTTCGGTTGATCTTTGTATGTATGCGTGTCACACATTCACATACATGGGTGTATGTGTGCGTGCGATTTCGTTTCGAAGCCAGCGCACAAAATTTTGATTTTTCTTACTTTTAAGGCTTGCTACCCTAACAAAATTCGGGTATTCGTTATTTGATGAAATGACGAAAGAAATTATATTATTTTTTATTTTATTTTTTTTTATTATTTCAGCATACATTTTTAATTTATTTAGGAATAAGATTAAGTGTTAGTAGTAAAATGTTTTCTGTATATATATTTTTACGAATCATTAAAAATCAATATACTGAGAAAGTGTCAGAGTATATTTCGGTCGGAGTCACTTAAAGCGCCGATTGCTTTTAAGTTTTTGTTGTTCTGCAAGAGGCTTGTGCATGCCTACTCTAACGATGGAATGATTTTTAGGGGAGGGTGAAGACACGAAAACAGCTGATGGACTTGTTTACCTTTTTTGTTTACAATTTTTCAGGCACTTGTTATTATATTTTGGGTTATTGTGAGATTTAATTAAATTATTGTCGTTAATTTAATAATTTCCTTATATATATTTCCTTATATATAATAACTTTAAAAAGTAATTTAATTCTTCACCCGTCTTCACCCTCCCCTAAAAATCATTCCATCGTTAGAGTAGGCATGCACAAGCCTCTTGCAGAACAACAAAAACTTAAAAGCAATCGGCGCTTTAAGTGACTCCGACCGAAATATACTCTGACACTTTCTCAGTATATTGATTTTTAATGATTCGTAAAAATATATATACAGAAAACATTTTACTACTAACACTTAATCTTATTCCTAAATAAATTAAAAATGTATGCTGAAATAATAAAAAAAAATAAAATAAAAAATAATATAATTTCTTTCGTCATTTCATCAAATAACGAATACCCGAATTTTGTTAGGGTAGCAAGCCTTAAAAGTAAGAAAAATCAAAATTTTGTGCGCTGGCTTCGAAACGAAATCGCACGCACACATACACCCATGTATGTGAATGTGTGACACGCATACATACAAAGATCAACCGAAGCGCAGGCCAACCTTCTTCATCGCGCTCCGTTTAGAGACTGAGAAACAGAAAACATTTATTGCGAGAATGAGCGTAAGATGAACGAACGATGAGCGTAAGAGAGCGTAAGAAATCCGCTCTGGGGCCTGCTGGGGCCTGTCGCAAGAAATTTTCGCGTCCATTTTCGTTGTATGAAATGGGTTGTCTATATGCTGTATGGTTAGTGGTAATACCAAGTTAAATTTTAATTTATTTCTTGAAAGCTCTATTGATAGGAAATATAATAAAAATAATTATCTATCAGAAATCTGTTTCCGGCAGTGCTCATAGCGAAATAAAATGATGGAAGGAAGCCCCAATCAGAATCCAAGCCCCACCATTTAATAAATACATTAAGGACATTTTTTCACACCAGCAAATATTTAATTTCGTTTTCCCACACTGACAGTTTTTAACCATTTATAGTTTCGTTTCAGAAAGACGGTCTACGGGAAATTTAGAACGGGTTTGCGCTTGGTCTTAAAATTATGCAAAAACAATGAACAGTTCTGTGACTTCAAACTCTGGATGGGGAGTTATCTTGCGCCACAGATTAAGGCGCTCTCCAGGGGCTACAACAAAAACAAAATTATGTTTAGCGTGAAACACTACTACTCCGACTCAACGACGGACATCTAACCGCTCCCCGCAGTCACGGGCTTGGTGGGCGGTGACGAGGGCGTGCTGTCTGTGTCTAATGGCTGCGGGCGCTCCTTTTCCTTGTTCCAACTCTTCAAACCTTCGGGCAGACTTGTGTCCTCCTCAAAGGATCCAGTTCCTTCGACAAACTCCTCGTAGGTGGACTTCTCCTTGAATGGGCGGGGTCCGAGCAGCTCGATCATGTCGTCTCGGCTGAGAACCTCGTTTTGAAGCAATCTCTCAGCTACGCGACGCACATCCTCCTTGTGTTTGCTCAGCAGATCGGTTGTGGCTTCGTGGGCGCACTTGATAATGCTCCTGACTTCGCCATCAATCAGTTGGGCAGTATCTTCCGAGTAGGGTTTGCTGAACACCGGATCACCAGCTTGGCCCACATCGAAGCTCACCTGACCCACTTTGTCGTTCATGCCGAAGCGAACCACTTGCGAGTAGGCGATATCCGTGATCTTCTTGAGATCATCCTGGGCACCGGTGGTGATCCTATTAAAGAATAACTCTTCCGCAACACGACCACCCAGAGTCATGCACATGCGATCGAATAGCTGCTCCTTGGAGAGCAGATAATGATCCTTGGGCAGGTACTGGGCATAGCCCAAGCCTTTGCCGCGGGGGATGATCGAGACTTTGAGCAAAGGATCGGCGTGCTCCAGGAACCAGCCTGCCACCGCATGCCCAGCCTCGTGATGCGCCACCGTGCGCTTCTCCTCGGGCGCCAACACGTTTGTTTTCTTCTCCATGCCAGCGATGACACGTTCAATGGCTTGCTCGAAATGCTTCAGGATAATCGAATCCTTCGAGTCGCGGGCGGCAATCAGAGCAGCTTCGTTACAAACGTTCGCAATATCGGCACCAGTAAAGCCAGGCGTGAGGGCCGCCATCTTTCGGCTCAGGTCATTCTTGTCCAGCTCGGTTTTGAGGTTACCCAAGTGCACCTTGAAGATGCTAGCCCTGCCTTTAATGTCCGGAGCGGGGACATAGATTTGTCTATCGAATCGACCTGGTCGCATGAGAGCTTTGTCAAGAATATCAACTCGATTCGTGGCGGCCAGCACCACCACATTCGTTGTGGTGTTGAAACCGTCCATTTCGACTAGCAGCTGATTAAGGGTATTCTCCTGCTCCGAATGACCACCGAATGTCTTGCCGCCTCGCTTGCGGCCAACAGCGTCGATTTCGTCGATGAACAAAATGCAGGGAGCATGCTTACGAGCCATGGCAAACATGTCCCGCACTCGGGATGGACCAACGCCCACAAACATCTCCAGGAACTCTGATCCCGACACTGTGATAAAAGGCACATTCGCTTCGCCGGCAGTGGCCTTTGCTAGCAACGTTTTACCCGTGCCGGGTGGACCAGTAAGCATGGCCCCCTTTGGTATCTTCGCACCCAGGTCAATGTATTGCTGGGGGTTCTTCAAAAAGTTAACAAACTCCATGATCTCAATCTTGGCCTCCTCGCAGCCGGCAACGTCTCTGCAAAAATAATATTTATAAAAATCGGATGATGGATTTGAGCCACTTGAGCTTACTTGAAGCCTACACCAATCTCATTGGGATTGATCAGCTTGGCAGTAGACTGCATAACGCCACCGAAGAGACCACCACCTTTCCGCCCTCGTCCACCACCCATCATGTCGGCGGACTTGCGCATCATGTAGACCAAAAATCCGATGATGAGCAGCGTCGGCAGCAGGCCAGTCAAACTGGCCGCCTCAACCTCATTGCGGTAGATGACAGGCACAAAGTTGATCGACTCGGTGCCCTGTTCTGTCTGTGCCGTTTCCAGGTTCCTCTCAAAGCTATCGACACTGCCTATGTTGAACCAGAGAACGCCTCCACTGCTGTTATTTTGTTGTAATCGTACGCGGACCCATTTCTTGTTGACCACTTCCAGCTTCTCCACCATTCCCTTTGAAAGGTAGCTACAATGGTTATAATAGATTAGCCAAATAGTAACATAATGCTATGTAGTGTTGAACCTGTTGACAAATTCCTTCCAAGAGATTTCCTTGTAGCCCATCTCGAAAAAGGCAAACGATCCAACAAGTACCACTGCGCCAATGGCACCCAGCAGAATCCAACGCTCCCGGTCCCCGCCACCGCCTCCTTCGCTTAGTGGCCTTCCGCCAGGTGCGTTACTCCTTCCAGAGGGACCTCTGGTAGTGTTGCTGAACATTCCGAAATTCCAATCAGATTTTGGTTCTTGGGCGGATCTTGCTTGTTTCGCTGGCGCCGGCGACGATGTACTGGGCTTTTCAGAAGCGGACTTGTTGGATCCGGATGATGGTTTTCCTTCGGCGGCAGTTCCCTTGGGCTGGGAAGATTTGCCGCCGGCTTCAAAATATTTCTCGAACCCCTTGGGCGGCTTTTTGCAGAGCAGCTGGATCTGTTTGGCTATGTAGCGGATAAGCGGATTCAGTTCCACTGGGAACATGTAGACTCCAGCTCCAGTCGCTCCTATGGGTAACCCTCCTGTTGCCCTCTGAACCTAACAATGGAGTTGGAAAAGTTATTTGTAGTCAACCTTTTATCCTTTTGTGGCATCGCTTACTTTTCCGGGCGTGTAGTTTCGCCTCATCAGGCTGCCCATCGTTTTGGCCGTGCTTAACAGCCGGAATGCCATTTCCCCGGGTTTTCTGATAGGTTACCCAACGATTGAACGAACGAAGTTTGTGGAACAGCGGCTGATCTCGAAGATTACACTGCCCAATTTTGTCCGCTCTCCCGAATACTGTTTTATCGAACTGGAACCGAAAGTAGCCGCCTCATATAGCAGTGTGTCGTTTTGAATTTCGTTCAGGTGAATGTGAAAAACGTTAAAAAGTATTACTACGGTGCGGTGCGCGATTGTGAAATTTTGAGGGATGCAAAGCTATTTCTATCGAACCAGGGATGGGAGCATAAATGTAGAGCTTACCCGGAACTAGTTCCAAATTTGAATTATTCATAAATGCGAATTTTGGTATATATTTGTATTAAAAAAAGAAAGCGATTAAATTTACTATAATTACCACTAAAATAATCATTTTATAAATGGTTATAAATAAGATTCAAGAACTTTAAATTCATTAACTGACGTCACAGTTTACCCTTGCCAAAAGTTCATTTTTCAACACTACCGGCAAATATGGCGGTTCCTATGGTTAACATATATAGCAAATATCGGATAAAGTTGGCCGATCCTGATGAAAACTTCTAGAACATACTAATTCTAGATATAATAAGTTTAAAAGAAAGCTTTTATATGGAATATTAAGAAAAATATGGCGATTTCAATTGTTTAGTTATGGGGAAGGTTAAGGGTTTTCCACTAAATTTAAAAGTTTAAAAGAGTATTATTTAGGATCTTTAGAGGATAAATATTTTAAAATTAAGTTTATATTTTTAATAATCGTATTTTAAAATTTATGGGGAAAGCTGCATTATTTTGTAGGTTTTTGGAAATGTCTGGCAACACTGGCTGTTGTGCTGTCGTGTGGTGCGTAGACTGGACGTGAAAATTTTTTTCGCTTCCAATTTCATATTTATTTAAGTCGAATTCGTGATAAAAATATGCACAAAATGTGCCGCAAATAGTGCTGGGCCACTAGGAATTGAAAAGCAACCGAAAATCGTCTGTTTGACATCTTAAAAAGTGTTTTTTCCAAACGCCTGCCGATTCGACGTCTGTGTATGTGTGTGTGTGCGTTAGAGGGGTACCAAAATTTGCAGTCCGAAAAAAAAAGTTGAGGAAAAAGCGTTTTGGTTACAAATTCGGCACTTGGATGAATGTGTGCGTGTGTATGGCTAAATTTACGCATAAAACCACATCGGAAATGAGTAAAAATAGTTTACAATTGCAACTGCCTGCGTGTGTTTTAGAATGTGTGTGTGTGTGTGTGTATGTGCGTAGGTTTGAGGTTTGAGCGTGTGTGTGTGCAATTTTTTTTCCGGCAGCTCTCCGTTTGCAACACTGAAAAATCGATAAAACTGCAGTAGACGGACTTTCGGTGTAGATTTCACTCCCGAAAACCGACAAAAAAAACAAAAACAACAACTAACAATAGGATAAAAAAAGAAATGATAAAATTTTGCTAACCATTTCTCTTTTTTTTACAGCTTTTGTAACTAAAACTCCGTTTTGACATCACTTTCATCATAATCTGAATTAAATAATAATAATATAAAACAACAAAAACAAAAATAAAAATATAAAAAAATAAAAACACCATCGAAAACGAATCAAAAAATAAGAAAATAATACACAAATAAATAAAATCGCAAGTTACAGCAAAAAAGAGGGAAAGGAAATAAATACAAAATTCAACAATTACTTAGCTCAAAAAAAGGCAACGAGGGCAAAAACGAAAGATTCTGCCATCAACTTTTTAGTTTTTTGTTTTTGGTTTTGCTTTGCAAAGAAAAAACATATTTCAAATAAAAACAAAACGCCGATCCAAAAATTTAACGGGCCTACGGTCCCGTGGGTGTGAGCGAGAGAGAGAGAGGGAGACAAAGCGACTGCGCAAATAAATAAATAAAAAAATAAAACAAAACAAACAACAAGCCAAGCTTGAAACGAAGACTTTCAAATAAAACAACAAAAACCAACAACAACAAAACAAACCAAACAAATTGAAACGCTGTGAAATTAACTCGTCAATACTCAAAAGCACCAACAAAAAATACGAAAAAAAACAACAACAGAAGAAAGAAGAAAGCATACTAGGAGAAAGGAGATAAAGAGAGGAGCCAGTAAAACGGAGTTGCAACATAAATCCATGGAAAGGAAAGGAAAAGCGGCAAGAAGAAGCACTGAAAGGCAAACGGAAAACTAAGAGGAAACCAGCGCTGCGGCGTCTCGAATAAAAAAATATTTAAAAAAAATAATAATTAAAAGCCAATAAAACCATAAAGAAACTGTAAAAAAAAAAGCTAAAAAACAAAAATCAATCCCAAAATTCCTCATTATTTTTCCTGAAAAAGCTTTAATTTAATTACGTTACGAATTTTTTCTTTGAATAAGTCAAAAGTGAATTCAATTTGCTAAAAAATTATTTAAAATTAAGACAACAACAACAAGCTACACCAGCAGCAGCAGCAACAACAACAACAACCAACCAACCAACAACAAACAACTGAATTAATGTTTTAAAGTACAAAATAACCGGGAGTAAATCAACAACAACAACAAGAAAAAAAAAAAATTTAATTTAAAACGCAACATCACTCTAAATTATTTAAAAAAATTAAAAACTTTTAGACTTAAAGTAAAAAAAAATAAACAATTTAAGAGCCCAAAGGGGGCGAGATACAGAGGAGGAGGATCTGAGGAAGAAGAAGGAGAAGGATAAACCGATAAAGCAACAATTGTGCCGCAAAAAGTGTGAATAAATAAAAAAACAAAAAGAAAAATAAATATATATACTAAAAATAACGGTAACAATAAAGAAAAACATTTAAAACCAAAAATCTACAAGAATTCTATAAGTTTTAAGCCACGTTTTACACATAAAACAACAACAACAACAACACAAAAGCAAAAAAAGGAAAACAAACACCAGCAACTTAACTTAGCCAATAATATATTTAAAAAAAAAAACTAACTTTTGTATGATAATTAAGTGAAAAATAAAAGCCCAGCAATAAAAAAAAAAGAAACAAAAAAAAATATATAAAAATAAATTCATACTGCGGCCTTGTGCCAAAGAAATAGTTTTATTTTACACGAAAAAAAAACATTGTTTTTTTTAATACTTTTCAATATTCAAAGTTTTTTTTATAAGTGTACCTAGTGAGAAATGTTAAAAGTCTAAAAACAGCAAAAGCAACTGCAACAAAAGAAAGTGAAAAAAAAAACAAAAACAAAACAAATTCAAAGAAAGATTTACCAACTCTGTGATAATTACTGTAAATTTATAAATTTAAATAAAAAAAAAAACCAAGTAAAGAAAAAGAAAAACAACAACAAAAACAAATCTCTAATGGAATGAATGAATGGAAAAGGAATAAAAACAAAAACAACTAATTTTTAAATAGAAAGTCGAGCGAGAGAGAGCGAGAAAGAAGAGAGTATAAGAACAGAAAAAAAAAAAACAACTTTACACTTAAGAGCAAATGCAAATGAAAAGATAAAAAAAAAAACATTGAAACAAATTCGTGATATCTTAAAGGACTTCGATACATATATACTATAGTATATTATATATTATATTATATAAACTATTAAACTAAGCTTAAAATCTAGTAAGCAAAAACCTTAAAAAAAAATAAAAATAAAAAATATATAAGTGAAAAATAAAACCAACCAACAAGAAAGCAAAGTAAAAAAAATAAAAACCCTAGGTTATAAAAAAAGACTTCAAAACGCATTCAACAAAAAATATATATATATATTTAACATTATAATAGAAAAGAAAATCGTAGGCTTACAGTTCAACATAGTAAATGGTCGAGGAGGATAACTCAAGATATCGAGTTTTTCCTTCAAATATATCGTATCTATTATAAAGCCCCGTAAAACACTCATTATTTGCGCTAGTGGATAGTAAATGAATCAGCAATAATACCAGCAACAAATTACAAACTCAACAATATATACAAATCGTGCAACAGAAAAGTAATAGAAAAAGTACAGCGAAAGCCAGGACGGAGAAAGGAGAAAGAGGAGTCCAGAAGACCGGAAGGAGAACGCCCCACGCCCGCCCCCTCCCAACAAACAATTAATAAATCATCGTTGTACTAAGGATATTTGAAAGTAATTTAAAAATCACTACTACTTCCTATAAACCACAACGATTGCCTACAAAAATACATATATATATATTATATATGTATACTATATAGAAGAAAAACCAATATATAATCACTTCCCAAAAAAAAAAACAAACACAAAATATTCAAATATCAAACAAAAGCTAATCTAACCCAAAAGTAAAAAGTATTCCCAGTGTATTTTTCTAGTAAAACTAAAGGTAAAAAATCAAGCAAAAAAATCTATATATATATATAAACCAAAATTCAAACAAATGCAATAAATTCAATAACTCAAATAAACAAAATATAATATTTAAAAAAAACCAATGGCAGCAGCTGGTATGCATTTTCATCGTAAAACCACAATATTTTGAAAAACAGACCCAAGAAGTAACTTCAAAACTACCAAAAAACTACAAAAAACAACCAACAACGTTACAATATTCGTCGGCATTTTTTACAAACACACAACAACAACAACAAGGAACACAAAAAACGTTAAAAAAAACAATTTTTTTGTGGGGCATGCCCCAAGAAACAAAAAAAAACAAAATAAAAATAAAGAAAGAAAGAGACAATTTTTTATTAACTTCGAAGACAAGGAATTTCAGTGCCTCTTGTGCCAGTGTTTAGCCAAAATATATACACAAAAAACAAAAAATAAATAAAAGAAAAAATAAATCAACAAATACGTATTTATTGCTTAGTTTTTTTTTTCTCTTTGATATAAAAAAAATACACAAAAAACCGAAAAAAAATAAATACCATTAAGGAGTATATAAAACCAAAATAGTGAGAATCAACCAAGTGTTTTCCCGTTATATTTCGCGCTCTCTCCAAGTTCAAAGTTCGAAACTTTTTTAAACTTCAAGTTCAAGATCGACTCTCCGTTCGTTCCAACCACCGTTCTCGTCATTCGCATCCTTTAAAGGGATATAATCGCAACCAGTCTCCAACTTGCTAGTCCTTATCAGCATTTTCTTTGTTATCAGCAATAGACTCCAATAGATCCATTCACAATGAATACCCAATCGAAGGTATACCGCACCGGCGAAGGTAAGTCTACTATAAGAACCCATTACTTCAATAGCTTAATAATATTTTGTATTATTTTTTTAGAAATCTATGATAACATGCCAATAGATGGCTATTTCAACATCAATGCCATTCGCAATCTGGGAATCCCTACAACTTTCCCTACGATTGGAACCTTTACGCTTGATTCTACCACTTTGGGGATGCAACAACAATCGCAGGGACCGCCGCAGCAGCAGCAACAACAACAGCAGCCACCCAACATGCATCACCATCAACAGCAGCAGCAGCATCAGCAACACCAACAACATCAGCAGCAGCAGCAACATCAACAACAACAACATCAGCAGCAGCACCAACATATGCAACAGCAACAACAACAGCAGCAACAACAACAACAGCAGCAACAACATCCCAGCATTGGAATGTTTGATGCCAACGAGGTGAACGATGTCATCCAGAATCCACCACAGATTGGTGTCTTTCAATCGAATAGCGTGTTGACCAATGGAGCCGGTAGCTCCTCCTCGATGTTTGGCTCCCAGTCGAGCAATTCTTCGGCTGCCCCCAACACTGATCCCAGCCAGGCCACTCGTGAAACTGGTATCATCGAGAAATTGCTGGTAAGATCACAACACATTTTACAAGCCAACTTTCACTTTAATGTTTCTGTGTCCATCTTGCAGCACTCTTATGGGTTTATTCAATGCTGCGAGCGTCAGGCGCGTCTCTTCTTCCATTTCTCGCAGTTCAGCGGCAATATTGATCATTTGAAGATTGGAGATCCCGTCGAGTTCGAGATGACCTATGATCGCCGCACTGGCAAGCCGATAGCTAGTCAAGTGTCCAAGATAGCACCGGAGGTGGTGCTCTCCGAGGAGCGGGTAACCGGCACTGTCACCACTGAGTTGCGCACCGATAGTGCCAACAATGTGCTCAGCTCCAGCGAGACCACCGGCCGGATCAGCTATGAGAACCGGGGCGAATGCTTCTTCTTACCATATACCAAAGACGATGTCGAGGGCAATGTGAACTTGCGTGCTGGCGACAAGGTCAGCTTTCAAATTGCAACGAACCAAAGGTAATTAAAAAATTAAAATATAATTATTTAATAAATTAAATTATTTTTAAAAAACTTTAAGAAGAAAAAAAAGTATTAAGCTTCTATTGATTGAGACGTTCTTTATCGATAGACATCGATCTTTCTTTCGTATCGATACATATCGCTAAAACTTTTTTTCAAAGCCTACTTGTCGATATTACTATTTTGATCGTATCGATAAATATCGCTAAAACTTTCTTTCAAAGCCTACTTATCGATATTACTATTTTGACAACATCGTCCTTCCAGACTGGAAGTTCCAGTGTTGGTTTAAGCTTTAAACTTCCTACATCCTAAACACTTCCCTCTACTTGCTACCAATCTACTACCAATTACTTAAAATTTACAAACCCCTTTTGTCTAATCACAGAGGCAACCTGGGTGCCTGCCATATTCGCCTGGAGAATCCGGCCCAGCCGGTTAAATACCGCGGAGTAGTCTGCTCAATGAAGGAGTCTTTCGGTTTTATCGAACGCGCCGATGTTGTCAAGGAGATATTCTTTCATTTCTCCGAGGCCGAGGGCAATGTAGAGCTACGTCCCGGTGATGATGTTGAGTTCACCATTCAGACGCGTAGCGTAAGTGGCAGTGGGGATCCGGCAAACGCTCACCTCCATTCAAAGATGCAGTCTCCGTCTGTGCCCCCGCAGGGCCGTGAATATGCCTGCAACATTACGCGCTTGCCTCCGGGCTCCGTGATCTTCGAGGACGTCGATAGCACTGTGTATAAGGGCCAGGTGCTCAAGTCCCTCGATCGCAATAATCCCGTTCGTCAGAATAACGATCCATTGCCGGGACGTATACGCTACAGAGCTTTGGACTACTCCGAGGTGGAGGTACCCTTTGGCGATAAGGATCAGAAGGGTGACTTCACCCTGCGCCATGGAGACTGGGTGCAGTTCTTCCTGGCCACCGATCGGCGGGATCAATTGCAACGGGCCACATCGATTGCCTTGCTGGATGAGACTTTCAAGGTGTCTGGAGAAAAGCGAGAGCAGGGCACCATTGCCTCGCTCAAGGAAGGTTTTGGATTTTTGCGCTGCGTGGAGCGACAAGCGCGTCTATTTTTCCACTTTACTGAAGTTCTAGATACGGTAAGTTAGCATTTAATTCACGATCTTCATAGTTTTAAATGAAAAAACACAATTTTAGTGCCGCGAAATTGACGTAAACGATGAGGTGGAATTCACTGTCATCCAGGAGCCAGGCCTGGCCTATAATAACTCGCGTTTGCAGGCCATACGCATTAAACACTTGCCGCCCAACTCAGTGCAATTTGAAACTTTAATGGCCAGCAACATTGAAGGTAAACATGACATATATCTCTTAAGAATATATGATGTTAAATATTTAAATTATTAAACAGGTTGCGTGACACGCGAGGCTCCCAAGAGCCCAATTAAATCTCAAGATCGCGTAGAAGGCGGTGTGATTACCTATGAACATGGCGATGTTAAAAAGACTATAATGTATTTTCTTAAAGACTGCGAAAAACCACCAAGGATTGGGGAGCGAGTGCGCTTCGATATTTACATGGTAAGTCCTTGTGAAGTATATATTATATTTCATATTTAAATAAATAAATTTATATTGCAGGTCAAACGTAACAAGGAGTATATAGCCGTCAATGTGCAGCAAGTTTCCTTGCAGCAACAGCAACAACAACAGCAGCAACAGCAACTGCTGAATCAACCGAATTCCGGTGGCAATCATAACCAAAATGATCAACTTTCTGCTCTGTCGAACGGCATCAGCGGCAGTGGCTCGAATCCCTCTATGCAGAATGGCTATGTGATGCACGGCAGTCCCGGTGGAAGCACCAGCAGTGTGGGCAGCAACAATCCAGCCCACATGGATGACTTTAAGCTGGAGAACAACAATCATGCCAGTTCCGAGGCTGGGCAGGTGTATCGCGGCTTTATTGCCGTGATGAAGGAGAATTTTGGATTCATTGAGACCTTGTCCCACGACGAGGAGGTCTTCTTCCACTTCAGCAACTATCATGGCAATCCAAACTGGTTGGAGCTGGGCCAGGAGGTGGAGTACACTCTGGCTCCCAATGGGAATACATCCGTTTCTGGCAACTGCCTGCCAGCCGAGAATGTTCGAATGCTGCCCAAGAACTCAATTCCACAGCCGGCAGTGCTGGATCCCGTTCACAATGGCGTGGTGGCCCGTCCACTTCGATGCATTAATCCCGATCAGCAGGAGTATGCTGGTCTCATCGAGATCCTTGACGAGCAGCGCACTACTGTCATATCACAGCACGAGTTCGGCATAACCAGTTTGGTGAACAAGCGGGATCTTCTTCAGAAGGGTGATCTTGTCAGCTTCCGCATCGATGAGAGCGGTCGGGCCGCTGTGGTTAACGCTGTGCGTCAGAAAAAGCGCGCCACTGTGGACTCCATCAAGGGCCAGTTTGGATTCCTCAACTTTGAGGTGGAGGACGGGAAGAAGCTCTTCTTCCACATGTCCGAGGTGCAGGGAAGCACTGTGGCTTTGCACCCCGGGGATACCGTGGAGTTCTCTGTGGTTACAAATCAGGTGAGTCTAAGACTTATCTTATAAATTACACAAAAACTAACTCCTTTCCCATTAGCGTAATGGAAAGTCTTCGGCTTGCAATGTTCTGAAAATAAACGATCGTCCGGATCGTCTGATCTCGCGCCTCAAGCTCAATGGCGATGACACTGTGCCGCGCCTAATACTCATCCGCGCACCCAAGGGACCGCAGGGCAAGGGCTTTTCCGTTCTGGCGCGCCATCCACGCATTCCAGGTAGGCCCCAGCACTTTATATTAAATAGTTTCTTTTTGCTTAAATATTTTTTTATTTTTGCAGGCACTTTGGTGGAGTAGATTGCTGCTGTAATATCGAATTAGCCACACAGAGAGGGATATTGAATGCACATCAAAGACAACTACCTACAGATAAAGCTATACGTTTAAAATCCTTGTACGCAAGCCATTGATTAGCGAGCAGGAAGAGACCCAATCAATCAACTAACTAACAGCAATGTGAATTTGTCGCCCTATACCATATACAAACACAAACAAACACATTTATAAAGAATATAATCCTTAGATGAAACAAAAACTAAATAATACAAAACTCTATTGGAAACGATCGTAATTGATAATAATCGATAGCAACAGCATATGGCATACATTTACGATTAATACGATTAATTACAAAACTACTTAATAGCAACTCAACAAGAGAACTCTTCGTGTCTGAAATCGAAACTTATTTGTAATACTACCAACTAACCCTCCACCATTGTAACGCTATGCTCTTGACTCGATTCGAGTTGAAGCGAAATGAAATTGAAATTCAAGTGTCTGAGAGATGAAACCAAAACGTTTGTATACGTATACTATTTTCTACTAGTTTGCTTTAATTTTAAACAAAATATTTAAAAAAAAGAAAAGAAAAAAATACAAAAAAAGAAAAAACACTCAAAAATAAGTGAGAAGGAAACAGGAAACATAATCTATGAAGTAATTATTCTAGAAAGGCAACGAAATCTTTGCATAATTGCTTTAGAAATTGTATGAAGGCAACCCTCTATATATATACAAAAAACACTCTTATCTATGGCTTGGATAGTTCCTGCTCCTATTGAACTGTATCTTGCTCCACTCGTATTCTAATGTACTTCTCGAAAACTGTTCTTTCACTGCTTTCTAATTAACTGTTAACGATTTATATTTATTGAATAATTATTGTACTGCTGAACGGCGACTGCAACCAATTAGGTAGAACACCATCAGCACCAGGAAACATCAGCCAGCCAGCCAATCAAGAAATAAAAAGAAAGATGAAAGTATTTATATAGCAAAACAGAAAGTCTAATTTGTATACATGCATATATCTACCATTTAAATATATATTTTATCTATTCATTAACGTAAACATACATAACACTACATACAAGATATTATTTTGTTTGATTTTGATCCTTTGCTTGTAAACCATTTTTCTGTTGCATTCAGTCGGTTGCATTAACTTATTATTACATAACATATTTAAAAACACAAAACAAAAACCATGGTAAATCATAAATATTTAATTTAAAATCAACAACAAAATGAAGATTGAGAAGAGATTGAAATTGCGAGTTTTGTGTGACGATGAAGAGCAAATTAAATTTGCTGCGCCAAATCTGTTGAAACCATTTAATGAAAATTATAAAAATAATTTTTAAAAAAATCTATATATACGAAAGAAAAAAAAGATTAAAAAACTCAAAAAAAAAAAAAACCAAACCTTATGAGCGTGTCGTGTGTCGGTAACAAAGAGCAAATATTGTGAAAATTATGAATTTCAATTACTAAGAAACAAAACAAAAAAAAAAAACTAATGTAACAAACAAAACAAAAACAAAAAAAAAGATTTAACAAGCTAACAACAAATTTGGGATCAGTACGTCCTATTATAGCCATGTTATACACAACAACAACTACAACAACAGCAAATACAACAAGAAAAACCTACACTAAGCAACATTGACACTCACAGACAACAAAAACAAAAAAAAAACCAGAACAAAGAGCAAAAAAAAAAAAATAGTAACTTTAATATTGTATAACGATTATACATCTACATACATATATATAGGGATATAGGAGTATATCCAGATAGGGCGGGTGGGGATAACTGAAGTTCACAGAGTCGAGGAGGAGGAGGAGGAGAGTAGAAAAGAAATGCCAAACGCCACTGCAGCCCCAAGAAGATATTCAGCTGCCGGGCGTTTAGTCATTCATGCAATGCAAGAAATGATCAGCACAGTAACTAAAATCCTTATTAAGAAAAATCAACAAAATACAAAAAACACAAAAAAAAAAACATTTCAAACAATGCAAAACAAAAAAAAAATCGTAAAACTCCAAAAAATGTAACAAAAAACAACAACATACATATGTGCTTGAATACGAAAAAAAAATCGCAAACTATATAAGTCAAATAATACAACAACAACAAAATAAAATATTTCAATAAAGGTAAAAACAAAGAATAAGGTTTTTTTATTTTTAAAGGGACTTTTGGGGATTTAAGATTAGTGTAACTGAACCCATCCCTAAGATAATCCTGAAAAATGGAATATAAATCCTTGTTTTTGGTTTTAATTTTGTTTTTATTTATAAGAATAATTTATATCTGCTTAGATTCGTTTGGTTACATGACATGACTATGGTATGGTATCATCATTTTTTTGTGTTTGCTTCTCGTGTACGCCTCTCTTAAAACTTTGACAGTTTATTGACTTTTTCAACTCGATATTTGTTTGGTTTTCACTTACTCTGCTTAAAATTCAAAACTCTTCCTTTTTTCCGTTTATATAATATATATACTCATCGGTTGTGTTGAGGTTATGACAATTTACTTATGATTTAACATTTGCATTGATTTCTCATTTAGTGAATATATTGCATTGATTTCGATCCGATTCGATTCGATTCGAGTCTGGTTGTTGTACGCTTACATCGCCTATGAATACATATTTATATATCGCTTAGGATTAGTAGATATACGAGTAGATGTTGTTGTTTTTGTGTGTGTTTTTGGGGACTAGAACTTTTGACGAATTAAAAAACCGATCGATCGTATTATCTTAAAAAGCCTGTAAAATGGGAATCGTAATATAAAGTCAATTATGAATATTATTAATATTTTTGGTTTTTCTTCATTTACTTTTCTGTCTGGGAGATTAATTGATTCAATTCATTTTCGACTTATAATTATTATTTCAAAAACTTTCGAGCTTTGTATAAAAAATCGAGGTAAACTTGATAGTGCATCGGATTGGTTGGGTGTGTCCTTTATTTGCTTATCATTGGTGTTACGGGAGAAACTCAGGGTTGTGTTTTTTTTTGTTTTTTTGGAGGCTGCTAGCCCCGAAGGCATATCCATTTATGGCTGTGTTTGATTCTGATATCCTAAGATGATGCACCAATTCAATTTGATCACTTGATACAATTTAATATTCGGGATCACTACTTATAGATGGATCGGGTCTAGATAGCCACATCTGACCATGTCTTTTTATTTTTTTTTTGCTTTTTTTTAGAATACTATACGAGAAAGAGAGAAAATTTTAAGATTTTTTTTTGTTCTGTGTTTTGGGGTGGGCAAGTTTTTCTTTCCAGAACTGCGTATATACGAGTTACAATTTCATAAATGTTTTCTTTTTTTTTGTCTCTTAATAGGAAGAAGTTAGATAGTCTTAATATAAGTGTACATAGCTATATTTGATATCCAAGAGGTGTGCATCATTATTTAGTTTTTTTTTATAATAACTTTTTGAACTGGGGAAAGTTGAATTCCTTGTGCTGGCTACGCCAAGTGGGGACTTCTTAAGGGTTTAAATTATTTTTTATTTTTTTTTAAATTTATCGTAACTTAGCGTAACTATGGGGCAGGTGAGTCTGTGTATGTATGGTGCTCCTTAAGCGAAGAATATTTACCATGAATTAAATTGCAAATTTTATTTGTTTTTTTTTTTTTAATAATTGCAATCGAAACACTCCAACTCAAAAATTAAAACAAAAAACTAAACGGCCATATCACTAAACTACTAACATTTTATCCTTACTTTGAACTTTTTAACAAAAATACTTTACGAGTTTTAAGAAGAACAATAAATACTTAATGAACTAAACTCTAATCTTTCTTTAATACAAATATTTTTTTTAATTTAATAGGCCTGACAATCGATTACTATATTGGTTTAATTCATAAAAATAAATCTAATCTAATTTTCGTATTAATCATAGGTAATATTGGAGTTGGAGGTGCTCGACTACTGGTAATTTTTGTCATGAGGATTATGATCTACTGTCCATCTCAATGATTCGCCAGCCGGCAGAGCACCTTATGCGCTGTTCTTGGAGACAAACTCGCGCAGGATGTCGCCGGCCATTTCGATGTTGTTCCGCGATATTCCCAGTGCGGTGATCGCATTCTCCTTGGAGTAGCCCGCGTTCATCAGCCGGGCTATGTACTCCAAGTTGATGTTCTCGTAGGGCACGGTGCCGCAGTCTTTTTGGTTGATCGTCACATTCGCGTAGAGTAGCGGTTGGTGGTGTTGCTGGGAAGGGTTACCCGCCTGGAAGGGATACATATTTCCAAATTATTTATTTTAAAGGATAATTATGGATTGTTACTCACAGCTGTCGCCGTAGTGGTCGCTGTGGTGGGCGCTTGGGTGACCTTCGAGGGGGGATTGGCCTTTTTTCCGTTGGCCATTCCACTGCTGGTGGTGCACAGCTGGGTGTAGTGGGATGAGCCGGAATCCTGCCGGGTCAAGGTCACTCCGCGTGCCTCCAACGGGCGCGTATCGATTACCCCGCTGATAGTTTCCGCTGGTCCCACCTCAACTATGTCCTCATCCAACAGAGAAAGCACAGGGGATGTGGTGCTCGTGGCTATGCGCTGCTGTCGCATCAGGTCTTCGGCCAGGGTATCCACACTGGGTGATACATGGGGTGGTATTGGTGGCGCCGTAGTTTGGGGTGGAACATTGTCCAAGCTGCACTGGATGTTATCGATGCTCTTGCTGCTAGTTGGCGGCGGGGGAGCGGTGGCCTTGCTGGGCGTTTCACCGCCAGGAGAGGATTTCCTGGGAGGCAAAGGAGGAGCCACAACGGCACCCACTGCAGAAGATCCACCGTTCGACTCCTGGAGGTTCTGCAATATGGCGTACGAACTGGAGCTAGAGGCATTGTCGCTGGAGCTGCTGCTGGTGGAGTTCTGTGTCATCTTCTGGCCATATGTGGAGTTGGCCACACAAGATCCAATCAGCGGAGCACTCATCCGGTTGGTGGTCTTCTGACTAGCACTGGCTCCGTTGCTCAAAACAGCCGATGCTGGCGGTGCCGAGGGCTGGGGCTGATTCTGGGAGGAGGAGGAGGAGGAGGAAGAGGAGATGGCCGGTGATCCAGCCGCGGCTGAGGAAGAACTGGAGGAGGAGGCGGTGGCAACGGAGGCGGAGGAGTTGCTAAGCAGGCTGAGGGTGGGCGTACCGCCCGCATAGAGATCGTTCTGCACCGCCATCAGACTGGGCGTGGTGCTGCGACGCCCCAGCCTGGGAGATGTGTGAGGACTATGCTTCTCGGCCGACGCCGCCGTCGAGGACGTGCTCAGTGCGTGCAGCGATGAGGTGGCTATGTTGAAGTCGCCCATATCCTAAATATATCCAGATAGAAAATAAGATTAAAGGATTCCACGCAAGTTCAGTTGAAAAATAGGAAGTTGATGGATCTTTTTTGATTAAATGTATGTTTTGTAAAACATATTTTGAAACTCCTCTCGCATAATTCCAACTGAACTTTGAACTTTCCAACTGAAAGGGGCCTTGCGCCGATCAAATAGCATGCCGCTGGCTGAAGGAAATCAAGACATGCACATCAAAGAACAGAATATCTAAAAAATCATAAGTCTGTAGGTTGGAAAACAGCTAAATAAATAGGAACAAATAAACAATTCAAACCAATATTTAAATATTCATATTATGCATATATTTTGTTTCTTTTTTTTTGTTGTTGTGGTGTTGTGTTTTTTTTTTAGCCGTAAACTTATTAAGGAAATCAAAAACTAAATGCTAAGATGTATAAAAATTGCATTAGATGTATTATATAAATAACCATTATCGTATATATTAATGCGATCTGCTTTTTAGTGTTAAGTTAACGAAATGAGCCGAAATATGAGTACGATATCAAAATTTCTTTGCTAATACTTTTCGTTTTTTTTTTTGTTTTTTAAGCAACAACGAGCTCTCTAAATTCTGGCCTAGACTTGTGACACAGGAAATTAAAATTTCATTTACAAATAATCACTAACTAACTAAATTATCGTTCGGTTCGAGGCCTACCATCTGGTTTAGCCTATTTCTATGCTTTTTTTTTATATTTTGTTAATAATAAATTACAGTCTTAGGGCAGCGCGGGGCTGCTTACAAATAAAATTGAATTGATGGGGAGAAATAAACGCACGCTACTACAAACTAAATGTATCTTTGGAAATATTAAACAATAAACTCTAAAATGAAAATAATCGTACAACGGGGTAAAATGAAATCCGAGAAATACTTCGAGGTGGTACTGGGGGGGTGGTGTGGTACGACGGGAAGACGCTAATGCAGATAATTAAGATCAAAGTAGAGAGGAGAATACAAAATAATACAGTAGAGAGTGGGGTGGGGTGATTACAATTATAAATTACATAGTGCCTATGTACAAAAGTGCAAAACGATTTGAATGATTCATAAACGAACGAACGGATGAGGCGTGATCGATAAACAGACAGATAGATAGATAGATAGATAGATAGATAGAAAGGAGAGCGTGAGAGAGGAGGAACAAACAACTGAACGAACGCACACAAACCAATATCCAGCCGAGAGGAAAACATGAATGAAGCGAGATAACAAACGCTGGCTGATGGGCCACTTCCGCTCAAAGAATTTAAACTACGTTATGCATTGGTGTGCACAGAAAAAAAAATACCTCAGCCAAGATTAAATTAATTTAATCTCTTAATATCCAGAGCTTGTAGTTTTTTTCTGTGTATAAGAAAGTGCTGCATGGATTATGGTCGAGTGTGTGTGTGTGTGTGTTAGTTTTATGAGTTTGGCTAATAATTTAAATATGTTACAGCTAAAAAACAAAAATTAAACTCGAAACTGCATCTGCAAACTGCAGGCTAAACATTAAACTTATATAAACAATAGCAGTTGTAAAATCTAAATTATATAATGTATATATATATATATAGGCATATATAATAATGTATATATATGTATAAACGAACCAAAAGTAATCATAAGAGTAATATGTATATAAATAGCAGCTCAGGCGGCAGCGGAGCAGGCGGATCAGGCTGATCAGGCTGTGAACAAAACTATACCTCTGTGTCATCATCGTCCTGCTGCTGCTGTCGCCCATTGGTGACATTCCGGTTGTGTTGCTTGCGCGGATCGAAGGCATCCACAATTATTTGTTCCGTGCCCTTGATCTCGGCGCGACAGAAGGGACAGCCCTACAAAAAAATACACAAGAGTTTAATACAAGAATTAAATAGAATTCTATATAATACGCACTTGTCCCTCGGAGTCCACCTGCCAGGAGGTGAGGCAAGGCGTGCACAACAAATGACCGCAAGGCTCAATACGGATATCCTTGTCGTTCTCCGCACAGATTTTGCACAGCTGAAAGGTGCTGCCTGTAATCCATAAAATAATTGGTTTGAGATATATATTATATAATTATAAAGCAATATTGATAAGAAACTCACCCATTTCACAGTATAGTTCGTATTGCTCTTGTGTTACAGTTATATGGTCCTCAGTAGGACTGTGAACAGCTGACGATAGATCCGGATTAATGGCTTGGCCATCTGGATACAAGTAGAAGCCCTCCCTAAGAAGAGTATAAATATTTGATATACTATTTGTTGCAGTTCTTATCTGGGTAGTCAAGGGAATTCTTATCAAATTAAAATTTTCAAGGAATTTAAAGGCCATTTGAAATTATATCTAATGCAAATTTTTAACGTTTATCTTATCGAATCGTAGTTCTTCTAAGAAATAACAATTATTCAAACAAACAGGGTTCACGATATTAATAATAAATAGAAATATTCCTTAGAAATATAATTCATGGAAATATTCTATGAACTCTTACCGATGACCATCGAGTAGGGCTTGGCATAGCGATTTATTTTGTGGGATTGTCTGCAGGATCTCCCCCTCTGCTGTGACATAGCCGATGGCCCACTGGCCGAGTCGTGTGCAGGATAGCCGGAAGACGTAGCTGCCAGCCTTGAGTATGTAGCGCTGGAGGCGCGCCTTCACCTCGTCGTAAGTGAGAAAGGCCACATAGCCCGGATGGGTTACGGCAAGGATCTGCCAGTTTCGCAATAGCGTCACCCAGGGCTGGAAGAGTCGTGTGAAAACATCGAATTCGAAGTTTGAGATAAAATCGTTGCAGGTCAGGTCGATAGTGGTCTTCAATGCCATAGCCTCCAAGCCAGACGATATGGGGTGAACTTTGTTTAATTCCTGACGAAAGATTTTCCAGGGAACCAGAGTGCTGCAAGTAAATATTTGTTTATAAGTAAACGCTTTATAGATGCAGCACTTATAGAGAATTCTGCCATGACTACTCTACTAGTTTTGGATCATTTTCCACTTCGACTCACCTGTTACCAAAGTTACTCTTCCAGAAGTCTGCCGCGTCCGCCTTTGTAATCCGAAACTGATCGCCTGCAAACACTCCATTCGGGAATATGGCCTTCAGTTCACTGAGCATGTGCGAGAAGACCAGGCTGAGCTTGGTGAGGTTCCTCCGATAGTGTGAGTTCTCGTCAAACATTTTCTCCTTGCCCTCTTTGAACAATTTGATGGCCTGCTTGCATTTCCGCATCAGATTATTGATGAACACGTTAAAGTGCTCGTTGGCATGGAGCAAGTGCATCTGGTCCTCGTTCTTGGAGTAGATCAACCTCAACCGCTGATACGTATCCGGCAGAATGTCCAGGATGAAGGGGGGACTGTTCTTGAGGTTCATCTTCGGTTGTTGGCACAACTTGACCACCTTGTCCATCAGCTTCCACGTCTTCTCGAGGGTCTTCTTATCGGTGGACAAGCGCTGGGAGACACAGGCCTCCGAGATGGCTCCGTGCAGCTTGGAAAACAGCGACGGGAAAATCTTTTGCTGCGTTCCTCTCGTCGCCATCTTTTCTGCTCTGCCGCTGCTCTGCCTGCCCCTCTGCTGCTATTCTGCTTCCTCTCTGCCTCTGCCCCTGTGTTGTTGGTGGCTCTCGTATTTGGTTTTCCACTCTGTTTCACTACATTTAATCCTTGCAATGAGCGGATCCTTGGCCGTGTCCTTAACGTGCTAGCATTGGTAGCTATATGCAACACACGGTTTCCCCAATTTAAGACTTTTTTTATGGCCCACACAATATTTTCGACTTTTTCATTGAGTGGTAGTGTGGCTGCAACTGCACATTCAAGAAATACCAAATTGGCGACGTCGAAGTAATTTAAAAATACCAAAACCAAAATACTAATAAGTATTTGCCACATTTTCCAACACTGAACATTGGGATCCCTTATTTGTGGGGCCAGATAAATGATTGATTTTCAAATTTGAAAGCTTTTTATTTCATTTACGAAAAAGGAATAAGGCATTCAAAATGTAAATAGGGATTTGGCCCCCCCAAGAATCCAAGCATTTTATTGTTGCTATTTCAAAACTATAATTTTGGAAATGTACAATTTAAAATTTAAAAAAATCAGTCGAAAGTCCGTTATAAAAGGACTCATTTTAAAGAAAGAAACAATTTATCTTTTTTATTTTTATTATTTTTGCTTGTCTTTAACTACTATCGTTATATTTTTAATTATAATTAAGCTTTGTTGTGTTCCCATTTTTTAACATTTAAGTTGATATTTTTTAACATAACTATAAACTTGTGTAACAAAATTTCAATCAAATTTTTAAAGCTTGTTAGTCATTTTCATTGTCATTAAAAAATGTGCGCAATTGAGGTGAGAATATAAATCTGCACTTGCCGTATAATTTCCGCCGTTTATCGTTCGATCCACAGCATCACATTTATATAATACTCGCACTGGTTTCATTGCCAGCATGTGATTAGATGAAAAGAAAACCCGCACGACTGGCAGAACAGGTGCGTGGAAGTTGGAAGTTGGCTCTTGCCTTCTATCGTTTATTATGGCCATCTTTTCACACACGGTTGTTTTGGTTTTTTTGTGTGATTTTTTTTTTGTTTTTTTAATATGCACTGCCACTGCAATCGCAATTTTCACTTTCCATTTTTATTGGCAACCGCAGGCGAGCGCGGCATCAAATATTTGGCCAGAAAAGAAATTGCACGGCTGCCAAAAGGTTTTTACGTCTCCGGCCTGGCTTTCTTTTAATTAAATTTCGGTTTTCAGTCCCCAGTTTTTAGTTATTTTTTATGCATTATTTTTTTTTTTTTTCGTTTTATTTTTGTTTTCGGATCTGCAAGTTGTCGTGTTTCGGGTATTAGTTCTGGGCGATGGCGCTTAAAGCCAAGTCATGGCTGTCATATGCAGTTTGGCTCTCTCTGATCTGCCCAAAAAGCTAACTGTAAACATTCACTTACTGACCTCTTTTTTTGTCCGGACCCAGCTTCCACCTCCACTCAATTTTCTTTAATGCACGCGACTCTGCCGCCAATGATCAGCTCCACCAGTACAGTGGTACTTTTCCAATAATACAAAAAAAGAAAAAAGCTGTACAAATTTGTAACCACTCAAGCACATGTGATTTACGGTTTGTCATTACGGGAATTACAATGGGATACCTTCTAGGAATATTTAAAAATAAAAAATGGTAAAGACACCGCAAAACAGTGGGATGGTTTAAAGAAAAACTTAGTGTTAGAAATCGTATATTTTAAGCTTTTTTAAAAACTAAAGTGTTTTTGAACACTTTTAGAGGGTGCATGGAAATATACCGTTCTTAAACTTTTAAAAGTAGGCACCTAAAATTGTAATAGGATTATGATCATAATCTTTCCGGGAATTATTCTTAATTTTGTAAAATAATATACTTGTATTACCATATTAAGCCACGGTTCGTGAGAGTAAGCCGTGTTTATAGGTGTCTGTGTGTGACCCTTATTCGCAACAGTCGCTGAGGCGTAAAATTTATGGCTTTAAAGTCTACAAGTCTATAAACACAGCTTCCAGGCTGCACTTTCTACTGCAACTGCAACTGCCAATGGAACCACTGAATCGTGGATCGTGTCCATTGGAGATGGAGAGGCACGGATGCATCGTGTGTGTTGTTTGTGTGTTATAATTTCAAATGCGGCTCGCCTTTTTGGTTGCATTTTGCTGCCACTTTTGGCAAATTAAATTTGTACGCAAAACCGATTAGGCCAGCCGACATGACCAAGTTGTTATTTTAAATACCGACAACTCCATTTAATCAATATGCCCAGGAAAATGGAAAGGCACTCAGAAAATTCATAAACTATTGACATTGTTTAGAAGTGGAAAATCTTAACGGAAATAATATCTAAAAACTCTAATTTTTGGAAACATAATGGATTCTAAAATATTTTTTAAATAAACCTTATACTTTTTAAATTCTTTAAAACCTATTTCCTTGCTTCTAAAAACTTTGGAAGTATAAGAAAACCTTTAATGTTGCAAGTTTTTCCAAGTGCAGCAGCAACAACAATTGCTTTGAGAGCGCAGCCTGGGCTTCGGATGCTCTGCGCTGCCGGCGTCGACTGCGCTGCCTTTCACTCATATAAATTCGTTGGCATTGCAAATTCGGTGCCATTCGTCGGCACATTGTCAAACCTTTCTCTTCGCAGTAGCAATTGGAGCTTAGCCTTGTGTTTTTTGATATTCTGATTTTTGTTCAAAAGTCTGAGGAGAAAGAAGCAGAGCAGCAGCTGAAGCTGAAGCTGAAGCAGTCGCAGTCGCAATCGCAGTCGGTGTGGACAATAATAAAAGGCTATAATTTTATGAATGTACATTGTACAAATCGGATGTGTGTCGGTCTGTGAGTGGTTGTGTGAGTAGTGTGTGTGTTCATTCATTGAAAAAGCGAGGCAACAACAATAAATAAAAAATGCAATCGCCAGCGTCTCAGCCGCAGTAGGCGACGACTGAGGCAGCAACATCAGTAGCAGCAGCAGTAGCAGCAGCAGCAGCATCCACAAAAGAGATCATTTCATATGCGAATCGAAACTCGAAGAGCGCGCATCAAATAACGAACTAAATCGAAAAAAAAGTAAAAAAAAAAGGAAAGAACCTCAAAAAGAATTCTTCGAATAAAAGGCGATTCTTTACGGTAATTGAAATAAAATTAAAGGCGGTGCAAAAAAAAAAAAGAAGTAAAAAACACAGGCGATAAAAAAGAAATTATGCTCCATTGTGCGATCGTGTGAGAGCGAGAGGTCAAGTGCCCAAGGGAGCTGTTTGTAGGAAGAACTGGAGAGGAGCCACCGCTAGACAAACGAATGAACTCATAAAAGGGCTCTAAAAAGACAGCCAAGAGTCAGCAGATGACCGCAAGACTACCGTTAATTCGAACAGCTTCTGCGGTAATGCGACTATTTATGCTCTAAACTGAACTGAACTGAACTGAAAGAAAAAAAAAAACTTTCTTCCGATTCGTCGTGTATCTAGTGAACTTGACTCTATCTTCGTCACTTTGCTACTATTTCAATTGTTAACGAGCGAAAGCGCCGCAGTCACGCACAAAAGCAGCAACAGCAGCAGCGGCAGAAGCAGAAGCAACAACAGCAGCAGCCAGATCAGCAGCATCACCACTAGCAACAGCAACAGCAGGAAAGTGCAGCCGACAGTGAAAATGTACCAGTCCCAGCCCCAAAGCTATCGGTCCCAGCCCCCGGCTAATGCCCAAAGCAGCAGCCCCAGCCCCAGCCCCAGCCACCGACAGACTCTAAGCCAGGCCAAGATCAAGACCCACAGCCGCAGTCTCAGCCTCCAGAGCAAGCGCCAGCTGTTTGGCGCTTTGCTGGCCATTTTCATGTTGGCGGCGTCAACCACTTGTGGTAAGTCATAGTTGCAGACTGCACCGCTAGAAATCCTACCTAATAGACCAGAATATCTAAATATTATAAAGATTATATATATATGTATATAAGGTTATCTGCGAAAAAAAGTAAAAGCAAAACTTAAACCTTGGCTAATGGAAAGTTTTTAGGTTAGACAACAAAGATCTTTAGGAAATAGATAACTATTGTATCTTTAACACAAAGTATAAAAGATACAAGATATGATTTCCTACTTAAAAACTGAATAATATTATAGAGTTTTTTAGGTTAGATTACAAATTAAAGATATAAGACTTAAGGGAAATAGATAACGGCTAAAGATAGATAGGACACAGGCTATTTCTTCCTATTTCTCTTAAAACCTAAAAAACTTAATTAAAATAAGTCTTAGAAAAAGGTTTTTAGGATGAAATACAAAGTTAAGATCTATAATTTTAAGAAAATAGATAAAAGAAATAAGAAATTTCACTCAAAAAACCTCCCAAAGGTGCTTTAGTCCTATATAGGTTATAAAACTATAAGACTAAGATTAAACTATACTATTTACAAGTTACATCTTCTCTTAAAACCTAAAAATTCTAATCAAAATAAGTATTATGAAAAGGTTTTTAGGTTGAAATACAAAGTTAAGATGTATAATTTTAAGTAAATAGATAAAAGAAACAAGGGTATAATAAGAAATTTCACTCAAAAAACCTCCTAAAGGTCCTACAGACCTATATATGTAGATTATGATCTAAGATATCTAAGACTAAGATAAAAAGATACAATTTAAAAGTTACATCTTCCTTGAAACTTCCTATATAATTCCTATATACTCTACAAACTTAAAAACTCATAAGGCATAATCTATTCAATGACTCCTTAGAAAAGTGTAAATACCAAATTTCACACTTCAGGGAAAATGGAAATTCTCAAGTGAAAATTCTCAGTCGAGGCCGGAGCTTAAAGGAAAGTTGTGGACACAGTAGATCGTGAGTGAGTCTCAATTACCCCTCAATTTCTCTGGGTGTTGAAACGGAGAAGGTGAATCGGGGTCCGGATCTTAGACCTACAGCTGTGCGGTGGTAGAAAGGCCGTCTTGGAGCCGGAGCGGCTATTAATTTCTAAGGTACTTCTCCGAACAAAGTGAATGTAAACTGGCACACACGATACGACTGCTATGAGAGGCCCACAAACCTCAGGTCCCCCTTCTGGCTCCACCATCATACATACTGCTGGAAACTTCACTCCCCGACGCACAACATGCTCGTAAATATTTTCGTGCACAATTTGTCCAACATTCAAATAAATTCATTAAAAGCATGCCCTGAGTGAGCAGGGAGGGCAGATCCAGAAGCCAGATGGGGATAGTTCATGGGGAAATCAAACTGACCGCAGCACAGTGGAAACTAGTTCTAAAGTACACAGCAAGAAATAGAATGCTATAAGCCCTTTTCTATATATCTATCCCAATTATAGTCAACCGATAATGGTTTTTTTTTGTGTAAAGCTTGGGTAGCTCGTTTAGAGTTGACCCGGAGCGAAATGATTTGTTTTAGTTGTAAGAGCGATCATTTGGTTAATTGATAACAGCACTTCATCAGGGACTGATGGGTGAAAGATCAATTAGAGAGGACCCCTGTCGATGCAGTGATCTCACATCACATCACATATTTAATGGCTTCAATCACTGGCGCCGTGATTCATCTTTGGGCTTGGCCAGTCGGTCGGTCGGTCGGCTCTCCATAATACTGGGCCAAACTGGAGCTAACCGGGGCGGAGTGACCACAATGCACACACACATCATGCACAGGCTTATCCATCCATCCAACCATCCGCCCCTTCCAAAGCCAATGCCAGAGTCCCTGCCCAGAAATGCAGTGCGTTGGTTGAGAGATTTTTCCACTTTTGAAAATTATACGGTGGCTGCTTTTATTTTTCTCTCGCCTTTTTTTTTATGCAATTGATGGCATCCGATAGGCAGGAGCCTGGCAGCAATTCACTAGAGGCCAGGAAAATGCGGATACACTGAGGGGAATTTTTAAAGACCTGTGTATTTCAGCCATAGTTTTAAAAAGAAAATTTATCCTGTTAAAGCTTTCCATTTTTTAAACTCTATTTTCTTTGTGTGTAGGTGAGAGTGGGTGGGGTGGGCGAGGTCGCATAGTTGCAGTGCTGAATGTGATGAGATACGTTGCGGTCTCGGCTTCTGCCCCCAACTCTGTCCAGTCCGTCGGATCGTTTACATGTGCATTAATTCCTAACGCCGCTTAATTTTCTCCAGCCATCCCAGCAGCTTCAATCCATTAAGCTGAGAATGCGTCTGGCTGGGATGTTGAAATTTCCAGCTTTATGGCTCTGGCTCTGGCTCTGGCTATGGCTATGGCTATGGCTATGGCTCTGACTCTGGCATCAGCAAATTGGAATAATGAACGTGGGTTCAATTATCGCAGCCAAACAATCGTGGCAGCCTCAAAGAGCGCTAATAGATTTTCTACTGTATTGTGTGGTGTGAGTGCTTCCTCCGGAGGCGTCTCTCAGCATCGCTTTCTTTGCAAACAAATCCAAACAAAATAAAACAACAACAAATGAACTTAACTAAGCCAGTGGAGCCACAACATCCAACATCCATATCCGACCAAAAAAGACAACAGACAAAGATTCGGTGCCGGAGGCAATTAGTGTGGAAATTTCACTTGCAGTTTTTAGCACAGATTAAGCTTACGATTTCTGGCTGGGATTAGCATGAACAATTATAGATGGAGGTCGTTGATAGCCAGTCTCACACAATCTAATACTTGTGCCATATACTCGTATAAATGGCATTGTCTCTTACTTGGAATCGAGATATAAAGACGGGTAACATTTTCCGTTACCGTTACCGACTCTTTGAACCTTATAAACTCCCAAATTATTCAAGTTAATGGCTAGTTACTTGAGTCGGTCATGCGATCGCTCCAGAAGGTAGAAGGTGGAAGGTGAAGGAGGAGTAGTCTAGGCGGGAGGAGGTGGACCCAAACAGTGGGTCACAACTGCGCAAAATGCCCAACGGACGGAAGCTAATCTGGCATTTGTATGCCCAGAGACGACTCTTCCGCATGCCGCCATGGAAAATGCCAAGGGAAAGTTGATGATAGCGGGTTCGAAACCAATAATACCCTGGGAAAAAGCTATAGATAGATTTTAATTATTAAAAGTAGGAGAATATGGATGTTAAATCTATACAAATTTAACTCTTTTTGTCTAACAATGTCTTTGGTTTCTGAGAATCTTAGTATCTTTAAACTTAATTCAAAAATGTAAATTATTTGCCCTATATTTTACAATCTATGATTACTATAAGGGCCTTCTGGTTTTTCAAATATGACTTGGCACTATTTTATTATTCATTAAATAATGAGAAGAAACAATAAAATAAAATAATGCAAATCATTGTAGTGTAAGTTTCTCTGAAGAATTGAAAACTCAACTCTATAGTCTCTTGTAATTAGCCAATAAAATAAAACAAGTTAGTAAGCTTAACTGGTTTTTTTTTTAGAGTTTCTGTACTGTTTAAAGATTTTATGATATTTCACAACTAGTTTGTAATCTTAAGAAGAAGTACCTCGTATTACATGTCCAAAAACCTAATGTCTTTGCAGGCGCCGTTACAGACTCGCCCATCAAGATCATTCGACTGCCGGCGCAGGCGCCCGTGATTCGCTACCGGAGTGCCGACGCTGCTCCGGATTCGCTGCTCATCAATTACCGCCAGGATGCCCAGCCGGAGCTGTCCTCCACTCTGATGCAGGCTCCCGGAGCTGCGGCAGCCGCTCTGGAGTCCCTGCTGCGAGAGGAGACGGAGCAACAGCAGGCTCAGATGGGTCGCCGAAATCGGGCCAGTAGCTCCACCACCGGGAACTGCCCACGATCCTGTCCACCGAGCATCACTGTAGGAGCAGAGCCTGTTTGCGGTAGCGATGGCCTCATCTACGCCAATCTCTGCGAGCTGCGCAAGAAGACCTGCTCTCGCAGCGGAGTCTCCCTGATTAAGGATGTGCGCGATGGTTGTGAACGATCGAAGGGCTCCGATTGCAAGCATAGATGCAGCACGGAGAAGGATCCGGTATGTGGCACAGACGGACGCACCTATCTCAACCGCTGTATGCTAAGGGTCCAGTCCTGTCGGGTCGGACTGGCTGCCGTGAAACTGTCGCACGTGGGACCCTGCAGCAACACGAGTGCTGTCCGAGAGTCCTGTCCCGTGGACTGCAACAGTGCCCCGAAAGATGGTCCTATCTGTGCTTCGGATGGAAATGTCTACAACTCCACGTGCGAGATGAAGCTGCATACCTGTGGGCAGGGTGTGGTGAAGACCAGTCGGAAGCACTGCCAGTCGACTAGGATGTGCCGAGAGTCCTGCTGGCGGGTGGCTAGACCCACCTGCGGTTCCGATGGCAGGCTGTACGCTAGTCCCTGCAAGATGCGCTCCTCCAACTGTGGCAAGCACGTCTTCGAGGTTCCACTGTCTTTCTGTATGCCCCAGGAACGGCATGGAAGCGCTGCCGACGCCTGTCCAACTGAATGCCCCAAAGCTGAGGCAGATGCTCCTTCCCAATACATCTGTGGCAGCGATGGAAATATTTACTCCTCGCTCTGTGAGCTCAAAATGCTGAATTGCGGGTGAGCTAAGGATAAGAGCACCTTGGAGTCGAACTCCCTATATTATAACCTATTTTCAGACCCCAAAGGAAGTCGATCCAGAAGATGAGCATGGACAAGTGCAAGAACCGCCTAAGTCGATGCAAGCAGCTCCCTCCCTGCAAGGACTTCAATAACCTCTTTGGCTCCATTTTCAGTTCCAAGAGAAACGACAAGCTATGTGGCACGGATGCCAAGACCTACAACAACGAGTGTGAGCTGGCGCATGCCACATGTCTGTAAGTTCCATTCTAAACCCATATCCCTACAATATATAAACCATTATATACCCTCCAGTCGAGGCGTGAATCTGGCCCACATCGGCCCCTGCACGGATCTGAACTCCCCCACCAAGGACTGCGGAGATGCCTGCACTCGAGCCGACTTGGAGCAGCAACCTGTTTGCGGATCGGATGGCAACACGTTCGCCTCGATGTGCGAATTCAAGCGACGAACCTGCAATCTTCGAGTGGTTCCCGTCTCTCTGAAAAACTGCGCCCTGACCGCCGACTGTGAATCGGATTGCGATGCCCAGCCGCCGAATTTCGTGTGTGGATCGGATAACAACCTGTACAAATCCGAATGCCACATGCGAAAGGAGAACTGTGGCAAGCATGTGTTCGTTGTGCCACTGAAACGCTGCCTGGCCGCTTTCCAGCTGAAGGGATGTGCCCGCATCTGTCCCAGGGAATTCGAGCCCGTGTGCGGCAGTGATAACAAAACCTATTTGAATGACTGCTTCCTGGAGATCGAGAACTGCAGAGCCAACCAGACGGTGAACATTAACTATTACGGCGCCTGTGGACGCCCCGAGGCACCATCGACTAATTTCCTTTACTAAGGAGTGAGCTTGTGGCGCCCACATTTCACTTGGCATTTAATATTTTTAGGCTATAGTCTTGTATTGTATTTTTTTAAAAGCGATATTTATTGAGTTTGAATTAAAGCCCCCCCAACGAACTTAAAAGGAATGCACTTGTACCCAGGCCATCTAGGCAGAGTCATCGAAAAGCTTGCTTAGCATAGCATTAATCTCGTGGGGTCGATACTTGACGTACTTATCGGGATTCTTGCTGAACTGGACACTAGAATATCTGGAAAGAAATATGGGTTTCATAGATATTCTAGGAAGGATATCCATATACTCCCTTACATTTCATAGAACCTATTGTACTTTGGCAATATGTGTTCTGCATTATCACGTTTGATGCCTTCGCGAAGGATGACATCGGGTATGGAGATGCCCCTTTGGATTTTGCAGGCCTCCTCGAAGTCTTTGTTAAAGTTCTGTAAAGGGATAAGTTTCAACATGGAGAAATTAAGGAGTTTCTAAGCTAACGCACCGAAAATCTCTCTTTAAGGACACTGCGATCTTTATCCTTGACCTTTCCAGCCACTGGTTTGGGTAACTCATCCAAAGAATAGATTCCAAGAAGCATTTTAGACCATGTCTTTTGATAGCTGGCTTTCAGCTCACGGATCATTTCCAGATAGCTATGCTCGCACTCCGGCTCCGCCAAGGTGACCAAGTCTATTAGGTTCGATCGTTGGAGTGACTTTAATATGTAGTGGATGTTGTTCAGGCGGAATAGATGCTTTGTGGCCTGGTCGTTGTACTGCTCGCACTTGTTCATGATCGAAAGATTCAGCTCCGCCAAGGCTTTTTCTGTTAAAAATAGAAGAGCGTTTAAAAATCTTCCTCAAACCAAGACTCCCTTAAGACTCACTTATATAGATAGCTAGCAGAGCCTTATTACGTTCCTCGGCAGGTAATGCCTTCTTCATCAGAATGGTATCCAGTTGCGTGGAATACAACACATCCTGCGTTAGAATTGATCCAATAACATCAAAGTGCTCATAGAGATGCTCAATGAACCAAATGGTATTTGATGTTAGTTCATGAACGGTAGCATCCTTGGGTACGTTACTTTGGCCAACAATGTTTGTGCTCGACTCTCCCTTGACAACATCCAGAAAATGCTCCAAGGCCTTGGCGCCCGTGTGCTGGAGCTTATTCAATACCTTGGTAAGTTGCTCCCTTTGTGCTGGATCATAGGTACGTTCGATGTCCGGCTGCAGAAGTATCACCCGCTTCAGTGCCGAGAATATACCCAACGCCGAGGTCCACTCCTTGCGGGAAATGCAGCGCAGAACACGTTGTGTGATGGCCTCCGCATCCTTGACCACCAGCTCGATGGCATTGGATGCCAGTTTGGCGAATACTTCGTTATGTTTGGACTGTGGTATAATATCGTGCATGATGGCTCTCTCCCAGTTGAGCAGTCTTTGGAGTCCCAAGAGCATTACCAGGTACTTGTCCAGCTCCTGATCCCCATCCAGCAGATCTTCTGAAGTCAGATGATCGCTATGTGAAGAGGCCTTTTTAATGGAGAACCCAGTGGACTGTTCGATAGTCTGTGTGGCGCGTAGATATAATTTATTGGCCTTCTTTTCGAAGCTGAAAATTATAAAATATTTTATTTAGCTATTTTAGTTGAGTTTTGAAAGTTTTCTTACATTTGCTGGAGGCGGGCAGAGGTGTTCTTTTTGGGTTCGGGTTGGCGTCCACTGTGGCGAGGTCGCTGCAAGAACACAATTATATTTTTTTAAAACTTTTCAACATAATTTCAGCTAAATAAATTCAAGATTTTTGTATATAGTTTTCTAAAATTTTATTAAACTGAGTTACAATAAATAAGATGCGGACCACTCTTTCCATAAACATTAAATATTTAAATACAAATCTGTTACTGACACCAGGTCATTTACAATTTTGTTCACATAAGCATTTAGAGAGTACTCTCTTCACATAAAACACAATTTAAAATCCTAGTTAAGCCTACGAATCCAGCGATGGCGTCTTCCTACATAGCGTTGATGACATCTAAAATGCGATTACAATCATCATCGGTGCGCATTCCTATGTTCATCAGATCCGAACGTTCCAAGGAGGCAAGGTTGACCAGATTGATGTCGGCCTGTTCAAATTTATCCACGTAGTTCTCCATGCCCATGTGGACGAGCAGTTCCTCCACATTGGCAGCATGATTCACCACGTATGAGTGGTTGGATGACATAACGGAGCGACGACGGGACTCCACGACCAGGGAAGTCTCCACATTCGAGTCATCCGAGCAGGTATCATCCGTACTGCTGCTGCTCTTCGGCTCCTTTTCGGCGGTTATCTCCTCGTGCGATTTTGGCAAAAGAAATACCGGTGGCTTGAGCTCCCAGCGTGGACTTTTTTGTGGTTGGTTTGTTGTTGGCTTCTTGAAGTACATGGGGGAAGCCGGACTCTTCTTGGCCTTCATACTTTCAATCGGTGACAGATTTGGCGAACGAAAATCGCCATAAATCGGCGTTGAACAGCGCACATTGGTGGTGTTCACTTTCAGGGTATTCCACCGCCGTTCCTTCAGAGTTGGTGTTCGATTGAAGGTGAAGTTTGATTTATTAGTCGGTGTACGGTACTCCTCCATTTTATGGCACAATTATTACTCGATTTATGAAACTGAAAGCGATGCGTTCTAGGCAAACTCACGCTGATAAATGGCGGGCACAAAAGATGACCGTCATACCGATGCACCTGAAGCTTTTTCGCCACAATGCCGTTATCCGTAGAGCTCAGAGATGGGTCACGAGACAGTAAACTTAGGAAACTATCTGCACAGTCGGTAGGATGCCTTTGCAACTCTACCAGTCTTAACGATTATTTTTTTAAGGTCCACACCCATTTATATAAATATTTTCCTAATTATTATCATCCAAAAACTCACCAATGCTTCATGCCCCCAACTGTTGCTCTTCTGATGGTCCTTTAGAAGCTGCAAAGATCGGAGAACCACATCGCCCCGTTCCGTAGCATAGATGTGAGTATATTCCCTCAGATTCTGCTCCAACCAGTGCGAAATTGTATACAGTTCCTCTCTGGTGGTTTGGGACAGCTGCCGGAAGGAGGTGTACTCATCGCTTGAGTCATCCTCTATGTAGATTAGATCCAGTAGCTCCACAGGCTTCAATGGAGCGCTGTGCTTCTTCAGTAGCATGCTGTAGTGCTGGTTGAGACCCTCGCATCCGGTATTGAAAAGGCTCGTCACGTTCTCCAGCTCAACGCTCTGGGAGTTATTGTGTAGGAAGTAGTCCATGGCAGCTCGTAGTTTCGCCAGTGCATCCAGGAACACTGAAATGTTTCCTTCAATAGGTCCTTGATGGATTAACTGACACACCTCCTGGGAGACATCGTAGTGGGATAGCACACTTTCCAGGCAATTCAGAGTGGCCTCCAGATCTGCAAAAAAAAAAAAGAGGCGGTGACACACCAGAGCCAGAGTGCCTGGTGTTTCCACATACTTTGCTGCCTTTTCTGAAGTTGCTCCGTCTCCTGGTAGACGGGTAATATAGTCTGCTCGAGATTACCCAGCCGTTTTTCGAATACGGTGAGAATACTGGACATTTGGGTAGACAGATCATGGTATTTATCCACTCGGTCTTTTAGCAGAGCCAAATTGGTGGTTTCCTTAGGAAGTTATAAGAATAACGACATTAATTGGCAAAACTAAGACATGCCAACTGTTCTCACCTTTTCCAACTTGTTGTGCGCCTGCAATGAACTGTCCAGGTTGTTCATTTTTAGCGTTTTTTTTTATTAAATTCGTTAAAAACTTTCTTTGTTTTTATTAAAAAATGTACCAAAACAAAGTATCGATAATTAAATCGAATACTATTATCAATCGAATAGCTAAGGGTGTTTTGCAACACTAGCCTGTGGTTCTTAAATAAAATTGCTATGGTAACTGAAAATAAACAACAAACCGCTTATTAGTATTTCCACCGAACTATGCAGCTGCTGTAAAATTAAAAAGCCACAAAGATGCGTGGCGTTTTAAAGTGGCTGGAACGCATCGAGTTTCCCAATAGCAAGGAGAACGAGATCACGTAAATAAATCCCTAGAAAAACAACCACCTGTTGCTCCTAAACTGTAAGCGAAAAACCCCTTTTCCAGCGTCCACAATGTTTGCTATGCACCCGATGGCAGCCAGTTGGTGGTTGCAGCGGGGGACCGCCTACTCATCTACGATCCCAACGATGGATCCCTCCTGAATACTCTAAAGGCGCATAAGGATACGGTGAACTGTGTAGCCTACTCCCGGGATGGCAAGCGATTTGCCAGCGGAGCCTCTGACAAGATGGTCATCGTGTGGTCTCCACAGCTGGAAGGACTGCTGAAATATTCGTAAGTATTCTTATTTAATTTCAAAAACAAAGATAAAACTTTCAACTTTCAGACATGGCGACTCCATCCAGTGCATGAGCTTCAATCCTGTGTCGCACCACCTGGCCTCCTGTTCCTTGTCCGACTTTGCTTTCTGGTCGGCCGATCAGAAAGCTGTGCAAAAGTACAAGATATCCGCTAGGGTTAATGGCTGCTCGTGGACCAACGATGGCCAGTACCTGATCCTAGGTCTGGCCAATGGAACGATTTCCATTCGAAACAAGCTCGGAGAGGAGAAGGGTCGCATCGATAGACCTGGTGGACCCAACAGTAACGTTTTCAGTGTCCAATGCTGTCCGGCCAATGGACCAGGGTGCGTGGATACCATCGGTGTGGTAGACTGGAGTCAGACGCTGTCTTTTCACACTCTGAGTGGTCAGATGATTGGCAAGGAGAGGGCGCTAGGATTCGATCCATTGTGCCTGCAATATTTTCCCAGCGGCGAGTTCTGTGTGGTTGGAGGATGCACTGGAGGTCTACACTTTTTTACAAAAGAGGGTATTCGCCTTGGAACCTTGGGCGATACCTTTGATACCTGGATCTGGACTGTGGCCTTGCATCCCAATGGACAGTCCTATACAATAGGTTGTCAGGATGGCACTCTAGCCTGTTTCAACATCGCGTCCAGTACAGTGCATGCTCTATACCGGGAAAGGTATGCCTTTCGGGAAAACATGTGCGATGTGATCATCCAGCACTTGATTTCCGGTCAGAAGGTCAGGATTAAATGCCGCGATTTGGTCCAAAAGATAGCCATCTATCGCAACCGACTGGCTGTCCAATTACCGGAGCGCGTGGTCTTGTACGAGCTGAGTTCTGGCGAAGATCAGCCAATGCATTACAAAGTTCGCGAGAAGATTCAGCAAAAGTTCGACTGCAGTCTGTTGGTGGTGTGTGGCCGCCACATAGTCCTCTGCCAGGAAAAACGACTCCAATGCTTGGATTTCTCCGGCATCCTACAACGCGAGTGGATGATGGATTCGTTTATTCGTTACATTAAAGTGACTGGAGGACCCGTTGGGAGAGAAGGCCTTATGGTGGGCCTAAAAAATGGGCAGGTGTTCCGAATATTTCTCAACAACTCCTTGCCCTTGCTGATCACCACGGCCGTGTCTGCAGTTCGGTGCCTGGACATTAATTCAAAGAGGAGTAAGATTGCGGTAGTGGACGATGTAGGCCGCTTGGTAGTGCGGGACATAATCAATGACACAATCTTATACCAAGACACTGGTGTAAACAGTGTTACCTGGAACACCCACTTAGATTCCATGCTCTGCTATACTCATACTACTGGAGGATTGAGTGTTCGGGTGGGGAATCTTCCGCCCCGGGCTCCACAAAATATGCATGGAGTTGTGGTGGGTCTTTGTGGAGCAACTGCTTTCTGCCTGCGGGGAAACATAATGCATAATACCCCACTGGCACTTGGCTCGACCATGTGGCAGTTTATCGAAGCGGGATTATTTGAGTAAGTTTATAAATTTAAAAAAATAATCCTCTATTTTATTAATGAAGTAAAAAATAATTTTCCAGGGAAGCTTACCAAGTAGCCTGTTTGGGTGTGACCACTAGCGACTGGGAGGGATTGGCTCAATCAGCTCTGGAGGCTCTCCACATCAACATAGCTCGCGATGCCTATGTCAAGGTTAGGAACCTCCCATGGCTCAAGCTGATTGGTGAGCTGCGAGATCAGCAACAGCGTTCGGCTGTTCCCAAGGAGGTGCTTTTGGCGGAAAACTGTGCTTTTGCGGGAAAGTTTAAAGAGGCCGCCCGGCTTTTCCTAAAGTGCGGCCAATCTTCTCGAGCTCTAGAGATGTACACGGATCTGCGAATGTTCGATTTAGCCCAGGAATTTATTAAAGATGGAACGGCCCAGGAGAAGAAGGAACTAGTGCGAAAACGGGCAGAGTGGGCGTATTCTGTTAAGGAGCCACGTGCTGCTGCCGAGTTGCTGCTTTCCGCTGGAGAAAACCAGAAGGCCATCGATATTGTGGCAGAGCAAGGATGGGCCGACGTGTGAGTTATACCTCTAATTATTTTATAACAAAAAATAAAATACTTCCTTTTAAAGGCTTTACGATATTGGTCGTCGTTTGAGCCTTACTGATAGGGAGGCCCTGGAGTCAGTTGCACAGAATCTCAGAACCCTCAAGGCCTTGCCCCTGGCAGCCGAGATTTTTAAGAAGCTGGGCGATGAAGATCAAGTGGTTCAGCTGCACGTAGAGGTTAGGGACTGGCCAGAAGCTTTTCGACTGGCGGAATCCTTGCCAGAACTGCTACCAACAGTGCACTATCAACATGGACAATGGTTGGCAGAGATGGATAAGTTTATAGAAGCACATCAGGGTTAGCATATCTATATAACAGACAAATATATATAATAATTATGGTATCTCTCCTCAGCTTACTTAAAGGCTGGACGCACTAAGGAGGCCAATCGTCTGCTGAAGCAATTGAGCAACACGGCCATTGTGGAAGAACGATACTTGGATGCCAGCTACTTTTACTGGCTTCTGGCAAAGCAGTGCCTGGATATTTACCATGCCAAGGAGTAAGTCTACCTTTTCAAACTAACATGTATTTTTTATATAAAATTGTTTTATTTCCAGCGAACAAAATCCGATTGATCATCACCTGACCGAGTACAAAAATCATTTACGCATTGCCAAGGTCTATTATGCCTACAGTGTTATATATTCTTATATGAAGGAACCATTCACCACCCATTCCCCGGTCAGCTTGTTTAATGTGAGCCGTTTTATACTCAACGAAGTGGAACAGAAGGGTGTTCCCAAGGGTGTGAGCATGTTGTAAGTTAAAAAATCTAAAAGGAATCCATTTTTACTAAACTATACCTTTCCCTTAGCTCTGTTCTATTTACTTTGGCGAAGCAGGCAAAGTTTCTGCAGGCCAATAAATTGTGCCTGTTGATCAACAAAAGATTGCAATCCTTGAAACCTCCAGCTGGAGTGCAAGAGCAAATAGATGTGAGTTATAATTAAGATATCCTCAATGAATGGTCATAACTTGTATAAATTTATTTTTCAGCTCAATTTCTTGAATAGCAAGGCCTGTAAAAGCGGCTTTAACGATCCCGAGGAGCTTCTACCGCTCTGCTACAAATGCTCCAATTATAGCCAGCACATGAATAACAACTGCTGTCCAACCTGCAGACAGGACTATATTTTTTCATTCGTTTCGTTTGGTTAGTAAAAAAATCTCAAAAAATAAACCCTTATTAGTTAATTTTCCTTTTAGAAATCCTACCCTTAGTACAATTTTATCCTGAGGTGGATATTTCGGATGCCGAAGCGGAACGTCTGCTCTTGGCACCCGCCAAGCATGCAGAGGATTCCGATCCCTTTAACGAGGATGTGGCCAGTGCCTTACCATTGAGTTTAGATCGTAATGGGTTGCGGGCCATCGATCCCAATCATGTGCTCATCCTCAAGAGGCAGGGAAAGAATGTGCGAAATATTTATTATCGCAATATATTGCCTGATCTGCAAGTGACCTATTGTCCTAGTTGCCTTCTGGTGAGTTTTTCTTTAAAAAAATAAATGTTTTCTTTACTAAAACGACTAAATTTTAGCTATTTTATGCGGAAGACTTTGAGCTACAGGTACTTCAGAAAGGATACTGTCCTTTCTGCCACACATCCTCGGAAAAGCTACTAGAAGACTTCTGAAATGGCCTTAGCTTCTGTTTAAAAATATAATTTCCGTCCACAAACTGTACAAATAGGAACTTAAAAGAAAATAAAGTACATTCTAAGCCCAGGTCTCTTCTTGATAGCGTCTTTGCTTAATCATCGTATCCACGTAGTCCGCATCGCCATCGAGGACCTCGATGAAAGCTTCTCTAACAGATTTTGGCATGTTGTTGGAATTTCCGGCCACGTAAATAAATGCGTTCAAGTCTCTTATTAAGGGCTTCAGGTGTTGGCCATTTTTGGTGATTAAATGTTGCACGTATACTTTGTTCTCCTCATCTCTAGAGAAAGCAAAATGAGCCTCTACTTGCTTGGTCTTGGTCCAAGCATCAAAATCTTCTTCGAAATGAAAATCAGCAGCTTTATTTCGGCATCCAAAGAATACTACGAGGGGACCAATGGTAGCACCTGAAGATTGGGCTTTCAGTCTGTTCTGGATAATGCTACGGAATGGGGCGATTCCGGTGCCAGGACCTATCATAATAAGCGGAGTATTCAGGTCCTTTGGCCAGGTCATTGTTCCTTTCTTAATCACACCATGTATTTCTGTTCCAGGCTCTAGACTTTTCAACCAATTGGAGCAAAGTCCGAGGCGCGGAGTGTGCATTATAGTCTTGTAGTTAACCACAGCCACCAGTAAGTCCAAGGTAGCTTCCGAAGCATCCGAGGCTATAGAGAAGCTACGAGGCTGGATAAGGGGCATCATTTCAAAGAGCTGGTCTACGGTCAAGTGTGCGGTGGCATGCCGGAAGTCTTGAAGAACTTCTAGAAGATTTCTGCGCGGCCTATTGACGTAAGCCACTAGATCGTCAATCCCCTCTCCGGAACAGAATTCTTCCAGCTTCTCCTTCTCCATTTCATCGGCACAATTTTGTCCGAGAACTTCCAAGAATCTTTGCCGCGGCTTAGCACTGAGATCCCAAATATATTTGGCTGCTTGGTGAAGACTCAAGGGCATGGAGTAGGCTTTCGGAAGAGGCATATCCAGGTTGGCACTACAGACTTCCACGATGGTATCCTCATTAAAATCCAGTTTATGTTCGCGGATAAGGTCAAAGAATGATTTGACAGCTTCATCGCTGTTTTGTGGCTGCACATCAATAACATCTCCTGGCTCCCAATTGATTTCCTGTGCCTGGGATGCCAACTTCAAGAAACGAACATCCTGAAAGTGGTTTTCAGCTGTGGTCCTCTGAATATCCTTTAACTTAAAAGTATGTGAAGTTTGTTTTTGGTTCCAAAGTAGATTTTTAGGATCAGAAATTGCAGAACCCTCTGGCAATTGCTTTACTTTCCATTTCGTTATCGTAGGATGACTTCCGTTGAGTTTTTCCTCATCCAAACCCAAATTAGTTTTCAGAACCGTCCAAAGATCCTTTGTCCAGGGGAGGGAAACACCCAAGTGGCCGTAATCGTGTTGATCGTCGCACAAGCCCACGGGACAGAGAGATGTGGCTCCCAGATTTTGAAGTCTTTTACTTAATTTCTTGGCAGCATAGTTGAACTTTGGGTAGCTCGAGTCTCCTAGACCCAAACAAGCAAATCGCATTCCCTGTAGGGATTGGGCGGGCAAGCTGCGTTTCAATAGGAACCGCCAAGCCAGCTTCATATTGTCTGGCTCCACTCCGTCTCCAGTGGTGGCCACCACAAAGACCACGAGGCGCTCCTCGATGAGTTTCTGCATGTCGTAGTCCTCGAAGGGGAGTACAGGCCCCTGGAACCCCAGTAAGTGAGACTCCCTCCATATCTGTTCGGCCACGTCCTGGGCAGTTCCGGTTTGACTACCATAGAGAACCAAAAGCCGCATATTTTGGAATTTTGAAATCTGTATTAAAATTTACTGACGAAATTATTGATAACAGGCTGTTAACTAACATTTACATAAGTTATCGATAGCCGGCTCGATAATTCACAGTTTCAACTGATTTAATTAAAAAATAAACAAAATATATACAATATACTTTTTTTTTTAAAAAAGAAACTACTGATAATAATAATATATTTTCTTTATTCTAGTTTAAAATATTTCAGAAAAATATAATACGAATATAAATAGTAATCGATAGTTTCGTCAGTTATGGTCACACTCAACGTGGTCATTCTATCAAAATTTGCCAAAAAAAAATTGTTTTTATTTAGCAAGCCATTAAGTAAGTTCTTTTGTCAATGCCACCGAATGAGCCAATAGAAGTTCGTCTAAGCAAGAAGTTGTCCTGGCTGTTGCGGCATGGGGCCAAGAAGGAGGGCATTCCCATCCAGGCAGACGGTTTCGTTAATGTGTCCGACCTGGCAAATCATCCAAGATTTAAATGCTTTACTCTGGAGAAACTGCAGCAGATGACAGCCTCGGATGCCAAGCAGAGATATACCCTGCGCTGGAATCAAGAAAAATCCATCCACGAGATACGCGCCAATCAAGGTCACTCCTTGGCTGTGTTGGAAGGCGATTCTGAAGGTCTGGAAAGGATTACGCACCCCAGTCAAGCCCCCCAGGCAGTCCATGGAACGTATTACAGAAATTGGGATAGAATTAAATCTCAAGGATTGAAAAAAATGAATCGTAACCATGTGCACTTTGCCAGTAGCGATACAATCAACTCCATATTGAGTGGCTTTAGAAGTGATTGCCAGATTCTCATATACCTCAATGTGGAAAAGATCCTTACAGATAAAATTCCCCTCTTTTTATCCAGCAATAAAGTTATCTTATGTTCTGGAATTGAAGGTGCAATACCACCTAAATATTTCCTACGTGCCGTGGACAGGAAAACTGGGAATGCTTTGATACTATAATCTAATTTTGTTGACTTTGTTACTGAATAAACTTTGCTCCATAAGAGATCCAATTGACCGTTTGTCTACCTATTATTTTTGCAGAAATGCCGGCCCTCGCCTCGGAGAAAACTCAACTGAGAGCCTCGGAGAAACCTCAACTGAGAGACGGATGCACTGACGCAAAACTGACATGGGATCAGAACCCGGTGCTCTGCATGGTCTGCGCCGCTCCTTTTCGGAGCACCAAGGATTGTCTTGCCCATGAGCTACTGAAGCATGCCAACAAGCCGCAGAAGCAGCTGCGGCAGCGTCTGAACGCCATCACTAAGCTCTTCACCAGCGCACAAACCCAATCTGAGCGCAGCGAACTGCAGGATGTGCTCGAGCAGTCGGCGACCGGTGGTCACCTGCGCACCGTCTTGGATTTCTATGCTAGTGATCTCAAAAAGCTGGAGAGCTGCTTCGGCCATGTTCGGAACTGTATTGAAAAGGAGATGCAGGACCGGGTCAAGGTGTTTCCCTTTGGTTCACTGGTCACCGGATTATCCCTAAAGGGTAAGTCTTGACTGTAGCCAATCCCACCGTTTTAACATATATGTATCTATAGGTAGCGACATCGACTTGTATCTGCAGCCTTGCGATGAACAAAACATATTCCATAATCAGCTTTACAACAGGGTCTCACACTTTCTACGTCGCTCCAAGTGCTTTACGGAAGTCTTCACAATTCGCCATGCCCGTGTGCCCATTATACGCTGCAAGCATCAGTTGACGGGATTGAGTATAGATATAAACATGTCGAATCCGAATAGTACATATAACTCACGATTCGTTTGCGAACTAATAGCTCGCGATGAAAGACTACGCGAGCTGTGCTTGTTTCTTAAAATCTGGGCGAAGAAGTTGAAACTCATCAGCCACGGAAGCTTGACAAGCTATTGCTTGATCAGTATGATTTTGGTTAGCCTTCAAGTCCACAAGTTGTTGCCTCCAATCAAGCAGTTGCAGTCGCTCTGTCCACCCATAAATGTGTTTGGCATAAACTATGCCTTCTGTTTTCAACTAGTTCCTCCGATTCCACGCGCGTTGGAAACATTGGACTTGATAAAGGAATTCTTCGAATACTTCAGTAGTGTTGAGTTCGAAAAATATGTTTTAAGTCCATTTTTGGGATGTGCTCTAGATAAAGAGACTACCATGGGTACACCGGGCGGATTCCCAGAGTATGAAGATCAACTTGAATCTATGGAGAATGCGGTTGGCGAAGCACCCGAACCGTTTCAACTGGATCGCTGCATGTGCGTTCAGGATCCCTTCGAGCTCCAACACAACGTGGCCAAGGGTGTTTCTCCAACGAATCTAGCGTACTTCAGACAGTGTTTAAGACTTGCTGCACAAGCCTGTAACAACCAGGACCTTTTACAAAATCCTGCGAAGCTCTATGACTTTTTACTTTTTGGTTTGGCAGACAAATTAGTTGCCGACTCCAAATCGGTTAAAGCCACTCCCGCAAAGCAGAAGAAAAAGGAAATAGTAATATTGGAGAAAACAAAAACTTTGGAAAGTGAAACCAAATCGGAATTGGTTTCGACTCTTAATACGCCACCAATAGTACGGAGTCATGTCATCACACCGAGTACCAATGATCTCAAGTATTTGCGCTCTGGCGATTTAGGCATAAAAATAAATGAAAATAAAACAATATTCTATTACTGGCTGACCTGCTATGTGGACACCATCAAGGATGTACTCACGAAGATTTATGGCATGGAAATCAAGTTAAAGGAATCCCAAGAACCGTGCAGGTATCACTGGCTCATCAGCACGAACTTAGACACCTGGACTGGGCGGAGTTTTCAGCGTTCGGCAGGACAATCTTTCTTTGCTCATCAAATTCAACAGACAATTGAGTTTGAAAAGCTGCGCCGTGGGAATGCAGCTTATGAGGTCTCTGCAAAGGGTATATTTTCGCTGCTGGCTAGTGAGGATTATAAGGAGATTCGTTTAAATATCCAGCCGCTACCGGGGGATTTGTTGGGACTACAACGAAATAGTCCCCTCACAAAGTTTTTCAAGGCTTTGAAGAACTTGCTGATTAACTACAGTTTTAAGGAAAAGGCTAGCTTTTGGAAATTCGGCCAAATGGACTCTAAAAATGTGGAACCAAACGAGACGTCATAAACCATGACCTATAAAATTTTAGATTTGATTTCAAAATTCTATTGATGACCATTTTTTTCTTTTCTTTGAATGTAATTAATATTTTGCATTGACTATAACAAATCATATGTGTAACAATTATTAATTAAGCGACTAATATTAAATCCTATGTTTAAGCTTATTATTGGCAAGAGTCTCTTGGAGATGGTAATAAGTTATTTACAATAGAAGGTGTGCTTCAGAAACTATCTATGGAATGAAAAGGTAATTGAATACCTTAATAATAGTTAGATATAAGATACAAATTCAGGTATAAGATAGTTTTTGTTGTTTACAAATTCATATTTTACGACGCATGAAAAGAATGAATGAAAAAATACAAATGTTTATCACAATAGGATATAAGTTCGAGAAGTTTAAAAAGCACACCGTATAGTTTCGGTCTGAAGGAGAGATACATTATGTATATATGTAAATAAATGTGTACAAGTATATACAATATAATTGCCAGATTCGAACCTGATTAACGGCACTTGGGCACTAGCCTTAAAGTCTAATCTAATCTAATTCCTAACCCTTTTTTTGCCGGCAGTAGCAATATTTCTTGGCAGCGAAATCCTTCATACACTCGGACTCTCCGCTATAAACATTTAGTCGGCTCACAGAGCCCGTAACAACAACGGAGTCATCCGACCGATTATGTCGGACCGTAGCCTCATACCACCCATTGTTCGGCGACGTGACAAATATCAGTCGATAGGTTTTCACATCCTCCGGATCGAGGGCATTGGGATGCGCCCGAAACGCCGATCGGATTTTGTGCAGAGAAAGTGGCGCACAGAGTTTGGCGTATGTGCCGTTCCGGAACTCGGCCACAAATGTGTTCAGGTATTTTACCACACGCTTCCCCAGCTTGCGGGTTTCTTGGGAGGTACTGGATACGCTTTCGTAGGCCCAACAGGTGCACCAATGATCCGCAATGCTCACATCGGCACAACTCCTTTGCAGCGGTACTGGTCGGAATAGAGTCTGACACTGGGGACAGTCGGGCGCCGGGCCCAGAGACTCATAGTTCACCCGTCCGGATAGGGAGAGTATATGCTTCATGGTCAGATGGAGATCGTATGGCGTGGTCAAATGATTTTTATTCACCTGCAGAGCCTGCACAAACTCCGGATGGGATTTCCTTAGGTGTTCCGGCAACCAAAAGAATATCACAGGCAGCCTTTCCTCCAAATGCCCTGACCAGGTGACTCTGGTTGGGCCAAAACGCAGGCCATGGTCACTGAAGAACACCACTATGCTGTTTTCCATGGTCCCCTGAAGCACCAATTTCTGGAGAAGCTCAACCATGTACTCATCCATGCTGCTTGTCTGGGATATGTCGCTGTGGGAATGGGTGTTGGTCCAGAAGAACCCAAAGTAGGTATCGTTGAGGTACCTTCTGGTAAACTCCATCGCGTAGTCGTACACATGCTCCGCCGCGGTTTCGTAGCCCAGACAGTGAGGCAACCCCATGACGGTGGTGCGGTCTAGAAGCTTCTCAGCGGCGGAGAGATACGGACGAAGGTAGTAATCCGTCGGCGGATGCACAAAGCCCTTCTTCAGGTAGTTAAAAGTGTTTATCTTGACAGCATCCTCCGCGTAGGCTGTTACATAGCCATGCTCCTGGTACAGTTTCCAGATGAATCTGCACTGGTCCAAGCCACCAACCTTCAGAGGGGAACAGGCCTTATGGGCGCTACTCAGATTGTAGCCAGTGGTCAAGGCCATGATGTTGGGGAACGTATTGTCATCCACCTGAGAAGGGATATACAAGTTTTAATGGTCTGGATGTAAGGGATGAGTAATGTCTATTACCTTATTATATCCTGCCAACTCGAACCAGTCGTTGTCATAAAGATATTGGGCTGTTTTGGGCATGGCCCGAATGAGATTCACTCGGGAAATGCTGTCGATGCCAAGCATCAGGACACTGAGTGGCCGGGATTTAGCTTCATCCTTTTCCGGATCCACCTCGTTCCCTTGCAAATCTTTCTCGGATGCTGCCTGGAGTCTCTGCTGGACTGCCTCCTTCACGGGAACGGTGGCATGACCGTTGATGTAAATTTGTACGTTATTGGAACTGCATTTCACGATGATGCCCTCTGCCGAATTGGGTAGTTCGGTGCTTCCCTTGAAAACGTGACACTTTGTGTAGTTGACCTCCGACTCATTGATCCGCTCCACCACCATATAGCAGCAGTGCAGCTGATGGGTCACAGGATATTTCGTGAGAGCCTCGCCGTCGATGCGTAGGATGTACTTTTGGGATTTGTCGTCGAACTTTACTTGGGTCAGAGGTGGCAGCTTCTGGCAGGGCGTGTACTTCATCCGTTTAAAGTGACGCATCACCTCCGGCTTGTAGGGATCCACTTCTTGGATGCGGCAGGAGTTGCTATACACAAGGAAGCCTTCCGGGATAAATTGAATACTCTCATTATGGGACAATACTGCCACAAAACACAAAGGACAAACACAAACGAAAATCACAAAAAATAAAAGACACGAAAAAACACATAAAATATAAAACTTGGCATGCAAACGATTATCCTAGAAGGACTCACCATCTACGGCTGTGGACTGATGGTGAACAGTGAGGAAATTATCCGCATGCAGAGCATCCAAATCCAGGACATTCACCCAGTCGGGTCTTCCAATTAGGAAGTAGAAAAACACAAAGGCCACCACCAATGCGAGTACCGATTTCCGTCGGAGGGCACAGACCCGGCAGCTAACGGGCAGATGTCGGTGTAGAATAACCTGCAGGATGGACTTTCTCCTGGTCATTTGTACTTTCAGCTGATCCGTTTCTGGGGAGTCTTCCCGCTCCAGCAGTAGCCTTTTTTCTGCCATGACATTTAAGCTTTCGGCTGGCCATGAAAAAGTTATCAAACAAAGGTATTTATATAAAAAGTTAAATAGTTTTAAATCAATTAGTTGTCATTTAAATTAAATTATCTGATTGTTTTTAAATCACTTGTTTGTAATAACTTTGCGTTTGTAATTTAATAACTTGAAAGCTAGTAAAATTGTAAAAGTTATAAAAGTTCTGTACTATTAGCGAAATGGAAAATTAAAAAGTGAGCCAGACGCAAAAAATGTACCGAAAAAAGGTGATTTTGCTGACTCAAATTATGTAGGGTTTACGACGAAAAAACTAGTTATCCAGATGTTAGGTTGTTCAATTTTATGACTTTAAAATGCATTTGCTCTTAAAACCTTGTGACTTTAAGGGAACGTAAGGTTTCAGTATCTTTTAAAAATCTATTAAACAATTACATATATCTTTTGGCACTTTTTCAAAAAAGTGCATACCTTCAAAAGGTCAACAAAGGTCTTGACTTATTTAGATTTATCGAACACTTGCTGTCGCACATTTTTTGTTTATTTTTAATAGATATTTCTCAACCCAATGTTTATATAAATAAAACTGTCTCACAGCAACCTTGGGCTGGGCCAAACGAAGGGGTCTTAGAGAGAGATATTCCTTGCTAAAATTTCGCGAAAAATAATTAATGGAAATGCTGCGTCTGCCAGTGAATATTCAGCGATCCGAACACGTTGACAGCCGAACCGCGAGTGCTACTATGAGGCTCTCTAAATAAAAATCAGAATTCAAATGATGCGGGTACCCATGGGTTCAAGGTATTGTATGCGGGAAACTCTCAGAGGGGAAATGTTGCATGCCGGCATTATTATTTCATCGATCACGATCACGATGCTGTGTTGCAGTCATCATGTTTCTTTTTCGGTTTGCAAAGTTTTTTTTTAATATTGTGTTAGGTGTTAATCCATGACACGTTTTTTTAGATGACTTTATATAATTTATGATATTCATACCTATTATTTATTACTATTTTTTATTTTTATTATTGCTGAATAATTATTAGAATTATGACTTTCCTTCATAGTATTCCATGCGGGTTATGATAAAACTAAACCTTATTTTTAAAAAGTCTGCATAGATAAAACAAAGTCTAGATAAAATTCATTCAGAATAATGTTAAGCTTGTTTGTTCAAATTTTTATCAAACCGGAAGAAGTGGTCCAGTTATTTGTTACTTTTATTCTATTTTTATTTTATGGAACTATATATAGTATTTAACAGAACAATCACTATATTTCACAAAATGTAGCTTAATAAATCTGGACTTGCCGCTTCAATAAATATTATAATTTCTAAAAAATTAACTTTAAGCTTCAAAAGTCTCCAAACCGACGACAATTTAGTTAACAGCTTATTTTGTTTATAGTTCTAAATAATTAAATAATATTCCATGACCAAAACACTCCAGGGATTTGATGCAAAAAGGCATTCTGCCTTTATAAAAAAAATACATAATCTATACTATAGATTCTATAGAAATGTTTGAAGGAGAATAGCGTGCAATTGCAGTCCATTTTTTTGTTAGAATGTGTGTGTCGAGGACACTTTGCGGTGGTAAAAATAACACACACACAGACTATATCCCCAAGGGGGGTAGAGCATAGTGGTTGGGGTGGTCATGTCAAGTTCCATTGAAGCGAACTGCCTCTGTTGCAGCGTCAGCGTAAAATTGCAATCGTTTTGTTGAGAACACAGCACACCGCGTACAGACACAGCTACAGATAAAGATACAGATACGGATACAAATACCGATACACAGATACACACGCACCAAAATACACACTAACACGAAGATTGCAAACACTTCCCACTCGAGCCCACTGGAAATTCGCCATTACTCTAGCGTATGTGCCAGGATTTGACCCAATATTTAGGCCACACTTATATCCTGATACTCACATGGTGCGTGTGTAATTGCAAGCCTATTGATTGCAGCAAATATAAAAATATTTGCAGTTTGAGTTTCAACTAGAAGAGTAGTTAGAAATTGGCGATGCGCGACTTGGGCCGATGTCCTTGCTGGCGCATCGTATAATGCGGCTGGCGAGCGATTTTCAGGCTTTTCCCTGCCGACTTTTCCGACGACCACGGGGCGAATGACGAAGACGACGGACGTTGTCGGCGTTTCCGCCGTTGCCGACGATGCGATGTGAGATTTTTTACACTCTCACAGCAAACAGAAAAAACAGCAACAACAGCGAGATTAGGAGACAGAATACACTAAAGGAAATGGCTTTACAAATGATTAGAATTAGGGTTTGCACATATTTTAGTCCCTAAGTTCCTTGAATATCGGATGCCCTTTTTTTAAATTTATCTGGAGAGAAGAATCCTATCCTAGAACTGGTTCTAGTTTCTTAAAAGTTTTGTAAAACACTAAGTATAGAGAAGTTTCAATACCTTTTTAGACTATCTTAATATTTTATAATCATATTAATAGAGTTGATAAAAAACTAGCTCTGTTACTTATTTTTTCTCTGTGTATTAGCAACAGCTACAATGCATTGCAGTTCGCGAGCAATGCCTGAAAGTATGCAATGTTTATTTGGCAAAAGTCAGTCGCAAACTTTTCACACTCACTGCTCCTGCGCAGTTTGTGGGGCTTTTTGAGAAGAGTTGTGGCACGTGCTGTTAACCGGACTCGTGTTGCTATTTCACACACCTACCCATTTCCTTACTCTTGCCACACTTTTACTACAGTTCTCTTTGTCCTCGTACTCCACACACACTTGTTGGTTGTGGCCCATGAGGTGGGGGATAGGGTGTTGTGGTCGAAATTCTCCCCAAATGCCGGACCGAAATTGTTTAGCATCCGATTATGATGTACGTATACAAGGTCACCGCTTTAGAATATATACATATATTAATCACGTTCTAAACTATATATTTATTTAAAAATATTGTAAAATATAGAAAAGCTTTTAAGAACATTTTAACCACAAACTAATCACGCAACTAAAGAACTGAAGATGACCTATCAGAATATGTTCAACTGATCGGCAGACCATCTGATTCTGATTCTAAATATAAAAACCATATGATTTTGAGTATGTATTATACATACATACATTTGGCAAAAACATAGACCAATTTCGAAATGCTGGACACTATCTTACTCTTTAAATCTCTTCAAATAACCTAATTGTTTCCCGCCAACCTAAATAAGACACTTGGTTCTTTATCAAAAAACATAAATTAAATAACTTATCTTTAAATCAATAAATACAGTAAAGTTTTGAATGGATGAATTTTCATAGTTTATTTATCAACTATGGAATGTTTCAGTTTTTTTGATTCAGTGGTTTGTTGAAATTTATGGCCATCGTATTAAATTAAATCTGAATAATCTAGGCACTTTGTACTTGTTTTGATACTAGATGCATATTGTAAATATTTAAATCTAATCAAGCTGAATGAAACCGCATGAATGGATAGATAATGACAAAGAAAGGTTGTATATTTTCATAAAATCGTATCAAGATTGTTGTACTAACTTTTAAAAGCAAACTAATTCTTGGAACATTTGAAAACTTATATTTATTTTAACAAGAGTGTCTTAAGAACTTTAATAACTCCCTAGATTTCCCTAGAATAGCAAACTTCATTCATGGTCTTGAACAGATAAGTATGTTTATAAAATACTACAGCCTCTTAGTCATAACCAGAGTCCTATTTATATTTGGAGGGCAATAAAAAATGGAGTACCTAACGCTATCGGGCAGAGTTTATATATGACCCATCAACTTGGCCAATTTTGCTGATACGGTTCGCACATAAATAGGCCGCCAATGGCTACCGGAGGGCAAGTTGTTCCAGCAACATGAAACTGTTCGTAGCTATCCTGGCTCTGGCCGTGGCCTCGGCCTCCGGTGCCGCCATGCCCCGCTCGTCGGCCGCCCCCATGAAGGCTGTCCACACCAAGGACATGCAGGGTCGTATTACCAACGGCTACCCAGCTGAGGAGGGCAAGGCCCCCTACACCGTGGGACTTGGATTCAGCGGAGGCTGGTGGTGCGGTGGCTCCATCATCTCCAACACCTGGGTCCTGACTGCTGAGCACTGCATCGGAGATGCCGCCTCCGTGACTGTATACTTCGGAGCCACCTGGCGCACTAACGCCCAGTACACCCACTGGGTTGGCAATGGTGACTTCATCAAGCACGGATCCGCTGACATCGCTCTGATCCGTATCCCTCACGTCGACTTCTGGCACATGGTCAACAAGGTGGAGCTCCCCAGCTACAACGATCGCTACAACGACTACAACGAGTGGTGGGCCGTGGCCTGCGGATGGGGCGGCACCTATGACGGTTCTCCTCTGCCCGACTACATGCAGTGCGTCGACCTCCAGATCATGCACAACTCCGAGTGTGTTGGATATTACGGCAGCGGCACCGTTGGTGATAACATCATCTGTGTAAGGACCCCCGATGGCAAGTCCACTTGCGGTGGCGACTCCGGCGGCCCCCTGGTCACACACGACGGTACCAAGCTTGTGGGTGTTACTAACTTCGGCTCCACTGCCGGCTGCCAATCGGGTGCTCCTGCTGGCTTCCAGCGTGTGACCTACCACCTGGACTGGATCCGCGACCACACCGGTATTGCATACTAATAAACGAAATAAAGATTTATAAAGATTTTTAAAAAGCAACGTTTCAAAAATAGTTAAAATCTCCCTAAATAGCTTATCCCTAAAAACTGTGAATGCGTGACGGAGCCAACTCACCAAGAGGGCTGTATCTTCTTACAAAACCATCCGATTCCTAATCAGATTCCAAAATTCCAGGACTTCCTTTACAAAATATGAAGAATGCGTGGGGGAGTCAATGTGACCCACCGCGATAGCTGTATCTTTGCCGAAAACGGTCCGATTCCTAAGCGGAATGCCTTCAACGATTTTTAGATAAATTCTCCATTAATCTGCATCAAAATATGGAACCGAAATATTTTAAAATTTTTTCCAAATTTTTTCAGGGGATTCCTTGAGAAAAGTGTTTGGATTCGGAGTTGAGGAGTTCACAGGGGAGCTAAATACGATAATATGAATTCCCCTTTATAAGCAGATTACCTTCTTCTCAGATTCAGATTTGAAAGAACCGTGTAAACCTTGTTCAGCTTTAGTCAAACCACAACATTCTATTGAAATATCTGCATTTAAATCATTTTTATTTCTTTCTCTAGTAAGCAATACCGGTATGGTCGCGGATCCAGTCCAGGTGGTAGGTCACACGCTGGAAGCCAGCAGGGTGACCGACCTGGCAGCCGGAAGCGGAAACCCAGTTGGTGACACCCACCAGCTTGCCGCCGTCGTGTGTGACCAGAGGACCGCCAGAGTCTCCACCGCAGGTTCCCCTGCCATCAACGACGCGGATGCAGATGATGTTGTCGCCCACGAGGCCGGTTCCGTAGACACTAGCGCACTCCGAGTTGTGAATGATCTGGACATCGGCGCACTGAAGCCAGTCGGGCAGGGGAGAGCCGTCATAGGTGCCGCCCCATCCGCAGGCCACGGCCCACCACTCGTTGTAGTCGTTGTAGCGATCGTTGTAGCTGGGGAGCTCCACCTTGTTGACCATGTGCCAGAAGTCGACGTGAGGGATGCGGATCAGAGCGATATCAGCGGACGAGTGCTTGATGAAGTCGCCGTTGCCAACCCAGTGGGTGTACTGGGCGTTGGTGCGCCAGGTGGCTCCGAAGTAGACGGTCACGGAGGCGGCATCTCCGATGCAATGCTCAGCAGTCAGGACCCAGGTGTTGGAGATGATGGAGCCACCGCACCACCAGCCTCCGCTGAAGCCAAGTCCCACGGTGTAGGGGGCCTTGCCCTCCTCTGCCGGGTAGCCGTTGGTAATGCGGCCCTCGATCTTGGCCACCTTCGGCAGGTCCTTAGGATGGACGATACCCTCGTAGGCCGAAGCGGAGGCCACGGCCAGAGCCAGAATAGTTAGGAACACCTTCATGTTGCGAAAACAACTTGCCCTCTTTGGATCAAGGAGCAGCTTTTATACCCTGCACAATCTTTTGATTGCGTATTTGGTGTTAGAAGGGAGATATGGTTTAGTGGAATACTAAATCAATGTCTGATAATTGATAGTATAATTTTTTCATTCATTGCATTATCTCCTTTGATTATTTTACGTGACGAAAACAAACAATTATAATCTATAATCCATATTTAGTATTAATTCTGATAAGGAAAGCCTTAAAGTAGGCAACATAATTTTAAAAAAATACAGTTTTAGATGCATTGGTTAATTAAGCCATTTCCTGTAGAAGTTTGCATTGCTGGGTAAAATATTTAAGAATGTAATTTAAGCCTATATTATATAAAGAAAAAAAAACTACGTTTTGGGGTAATCGTTACACGAAGCGGAATTTTGATAATGTTTTCTGGAATTTTTTTTATCGCCATGTAGCATGTCTTGCATCTGATCGTACCAGGTGGGCGACACTTTCGGCACCGGTTTAAAAATAATTGCAATTACCCACATAAAATAAAAAAAAACACTTTTTTAATAGTTATCTAAAAATAGATTTTTTATTGTCATTTCATTTTTGTTTTATTTTTTTGTCGTTTAGTTTTAATGTGATGCGTCTTGACTTTGAGAAAAGTGTGCGAGGGCTCCCCGCACGTTCATACATATAATAAACTATATAGGGATATGATCGGATCTGTGCTAGGTTACACATATATAACCTACGATTCTTTATAGGCATTGTGGTTTTATCATGTACAACGAACACGTTTACTCTTATTTACAAAATATTAATCGATAGAAATGCATCATCGTTACTGGTTTTCCTGGCCAATAATATTATGTAATAAATTAGAAAATTTCATAAAACTAAGCTACATGAAGATACATTTTTGAGTGTTTCTTATTATTTTTTTTGTTTGTATGTTTTTTTCGTGTTTTCTTGTGGGGATAAATAAATAGTTTAATGGATTAGGATGAGTAGAATAAATAGTCGAAATGGGGGCGAATTGAGTGGTTTGTGTAGTGTTTTCGTGTGGATGTGGCTTAGGGATGCGCCCAGTGGCACTCAATTGACAAACATCACTGGCTCAAAGGGGGCCCAACGGGTTGGTCCGCCTTTGATAGCAAGGTGGCAATTGGGCGTGGCTCGGGCACAGCTAAAGTCATAATAAATAAATAAATAAAATTGTAAATATCCACTTAAATGCTAAGCAAAATCGTTTCGAATGTGGTTGGATTGGGTAAAGCGATAGAGTTGTGGAAGGGTCCTGGAAAACAAAGTCTGGCAAATCCTTGGTCAGTCTGCGCTGCCTGGTGGATCCATAATCTGTGGTGTGGCAAGTCCCGCCTACCACAGGGGCATGGGGCGTTGCCGGGCCAGATAAACGGGCAGGCTGGCAGCAGTTGGGGCGGGGCAACCTAAAGGGTTTAATTAAATTATAGTTAATTGCAAAAATTATATTAAAACAAACAACTTACGGCACACGGCGCAGGTCTGCTCGTCGGTGCCATCGCCGCACCCATCCCTTCCGGAGCAGACGATGGCGGTGGAACGGCACAGGCCGTTGCTGCAGCGGTGCGGGCAGTAAGCGTCCGCCTCCCTCCGTTCGCCGCCTCTCAACAAACCTCCCGCCTCGATCAGGCGCATGAACAGGTTGGGCATGGCCCGGGATCCGCACAGGTGTGGCGGCTCATCGCTGCCGTCCTTGCAGGAGACGATGGCGTTGCAGTACTCGTACTCCGGCAGGCATTCGCCGCTGCCGCAGCGGAAAGTGTGCTCCGGGCAGGCGTTGCCGCCCCGCACGCTGCCGTCGCATCCCAGCTCGTCCTCGCCATGCGGGCATTGGCGGCGACCGTCGCACAAGGCCGCCCGGGAGATGCAGCGGCCACTGCGCTGGCAGCGGAAAGACTCCGTCGGACAGGTCTGGTTGAGGCGGGCATTGTGGGTGCACTCCTCGTCGGAGGCGTCGTTGCAGTCCGCACGTCCGTCGCACACGAAGAACCAGGAGATGCACACACCGCTCGAACGGCACTGGAAAAGAATAGGACCATTTTATTAAACATTCTTCAGTTAAGATTGCTTAAAAGACTCACCTGGAAGGTGCCCGGACTGCATCCGGTTCTTTCAGCACTGCACTGCTCTCCTTGATCACCTCCAGCTGCGCAGTCACAAACTCCACGTCCATTGCACACGGTATGGGGATCAGCCAACTGGCATTGCCGATCACTGCTGCAGGCCAGACCCAGGGACACCGCCTCCAGACCCAGATCCACACGTTTGCGCAGCTCCGAGCCTGGCTTGCTCACTGGAACAATGACAGCAGGAGCAACGGGCTCCGGTGTGGGCTCGTCGGATGTCATCAGGGGCATAAGAGTGGTCACAACGGGAGCAGCTGGCTCCATGAGGGTTACACGACTGGCCAAGCCCAGCATGGTCTGGGTGGTGATCTCTACAATATCCGCAGGATTCGGAGTGGCCTCTTCGTGAACTGTATTGTGGGATGCAGCCTGTGGCGCCTCATCCTCATCCACTGGCTCGATGTGGTTGCTTTCCAGTTCTTGTAGACCATCGATCGTGGTGGTGGATTCCAGGACCAGGCTATCGGATTCCAATTCATTGACACGGATGCCGCCAGAGTGATCGTCGAAGTCGAAGGGCAGTTCCTCGGGCAACAGACTGTGTTCGTCCTCGGATTCGGATTCAATTACCTTTTCGGTGGTGGCTTCTTCGGGAATACTTTCGGTTTCCACTTCCTTAGCAGGTTCCTCGTCCTTGGCAGGTTCCTCGTCATTGGCAGGCTCCTCTTCCTTGGCTGGTTCTTCTTCCTTAGCGGGCTCCTCCTCCTTGGGGATCTCCTCTTGATGTTCTTCCTGTTCAACTGGCTTCTCTTCTTCCTCAATTTGTTCTGGAGCGGGGGTCACCTGCTCCTCCTCTTGCTCCGACTCCTCATCATTGGCTGCCTCGGCAAACAGTTCAGGAATAGTTGGTTCCGCTGGCTCCTCAGCTGCCACATGATCGTGGGTTTCATCGGCCTCAGCTTGGAGATCGGAAATGGCGCCATGAGGCTGCTCCTCCTCGTTCTCGGAGTTCGCCTCCACCATGGGAACTGTCTGGGCTGGTTGCTCGCCAAATGGAACTGGGGGCACGGTGCTGTCGCCCTCCAACATCAGGTCGCTGAGAATGTCGGCAATGCTTTCGCTTTCATGGAAGTTCTGGTGATCCTGGTCCTCGTCCTGTTCATCGCTGACGATGGCACTGGGTGCCTCCACCAGCTCAGGAGCCAGTGTGGACTCCACTTTGTCAGATTCTTCCGCTTCAGCGATGGCAGGAGTGGTTTCCTCTTCCTGAACTTGTCCAACGTTTGAATAATCGGATTCGGTCTGTTCCTGATCTTCAACCTTTTCGAGCGTCTCATGGTCATCCTGGACTTCTGGCAAGGGCGATTGCTCTACCTCTGGTTCTGGGATTACATCTTGTTCCTCATTGGGCTCCGCTCCTTGGATGATGTTGTCGTTTTCGGTTTTCTCCACTTCCACTTCATCGTGCTGTTCAGCAATCTCCTCCGGAATTTGGACACTTTCACTGGCCTGTTCTTCTTTTTGTGCCTCAGATTCCGTTTCTGGCTGAGATTCTGGTACGATCACCGCCTCAGTGGTGGCTTCCGGTTCGATATCTGATTCGCTCTTAATTGGCAGCTCTTCGGGCTCAGGGTGTGCCTCCGACACCTCATCATCGGCGGACTCCACTTCTGGTATTTCTTCTGGTATCTTCTCGGTAGCTGCCTCTACAGGTTGCTGTTCCTCAATCTCTGAAGCTGATTCTGTCTCTGTCTCCGCTTCTGTCTCTGTCTGTGGCTCTTGATCTATCTCTTTCTCGGTCACGGCTTCGATCTCATTCTCTGCCTGCGGCTCTGCAATTGCTTCCGACACTTCAGGCGTTTTAATTGCATTTGCATTTTCCTCCGACTCCACCTGCTGCTCCTCCTCCTCCGGCTCCTCCACCGGCTGCTCCTCCACCTGCGGAATCTCTTTCTCTACCTCTGCCTCAGCCGCCTTCTCGGGCTCATGCTCCTGCTCCTCTTTCACTTGATCATGATCTTCTGGCAGCTCTGTGGTTATCTCAGCGAGTTCTGGTTCCTCTGTGGTCAGCTCTGGTTCTCTTTCCACTGGCGCCAATTCATCATCATTTGTTGGGTATGTCAATTGTTCGTGCTCCGCTTCGGTGATTGCCTCCGCCGCCTCCGGTTCCTCTTTCTCCAAGTCAGCGTTTGAATCCGATTCGGACTCCACCTCTTCATCAGCCTGGACTGGTTTCTCTGTTGTGGCTTCATCTGCATCTTGATGGATTTCCACCACCTGTTCGGGCTCTTTTTCTTCGTCCACCTCCTCCGGCTCAGACGTCTCAGCTGCCGCCTCTGTGACTTGGTCTTCATTTAATTGATTGGCTTCATTTAAATCATCTTCGCCACTTGTCGGCTTGATGTCGGCGCTTTGTTCCGCCTGATCGATTTCAGACACCATCTCTGGCTTGGTTTCTTCTTCCTCAACTGGCAGCTCCACTTCTGCGGCTTCAGTAGCTGCTGCCGGCTGCTCCTTTTCTTTTTCTATTTCGGTCTCTGGCTCTGGCTCCGACTGTGGCTCCTCTGGTTTTTTCACAAACTCGACGGCCTGGCTTTCACTCTCCGACGCCACCTGGGCTGGCTCTTCGATCTTCAGTGTCTCTTCGGGCTTGGGTGGCTCCACTTCCAACTCATGATCCCCCGAAGCCAGATCCTCCGACTGCTCCGCCTCTTCAACTTGAGCTTCGGTTGCCTTCGTCACACTTTCGGTTTCGACTGGGATCAGTTCTTCATCGGCTACTGTCTGGGATGTCTCGGGCTCGGCCTCCTCCTCAATCGCGTCGCCGAGCTGCTGCGTCTGGATCTGGGGCTCAGTGGGGGCATCCTCGGCATTGGTCTCGCTCTCGGCATCAATGGGCACCACCTCCTCATTAGTCGGCGGCAACACCTCCTTTTCCTTTTCTGGCTCCTCGACAGGCGTTTCATAATCGAATTTCATGGTGTCGTCGACGATGGGCGATGAGGCGATCTCTTGGCCCCCTGAAGCCTCTAATTCCTCGGCTTCTGCAGGTGATTCTTCTGGCTGGTGTTCTGGCTGCTCTTCGGTTAGTTCTGGCTTGTTGTTATCGTGCTCCTCGGGATACTCCTCATCGATCTTGTAGGGGTAATCCTCGGTGGGTCCGACTTCGGTTTCTTGCTCCACAGCAATGGCATTCTCAGTGGGCACGTCTGCGGGCGTGAGTAGCTGCTGGACTCCAGTGGTGGCATCCGGAGAGGTTTGCTGCTCTGGCACCTGCTGTTCTGCCTCCACCTGGTGTTGCTGCTCCTCCTGGTGCTTTTGCTCCTCCTCCTGCAACTGCTGTTGCGTCAGTTCGGTTTCCTCGTGGGCCATGTCCACGGCCTCCAGTTTCTCGCCGTTATCCAGTTCGGAGACCTCGGGTCTTAGCTTGGTGGCCTCACCGTCGTCCTCCTCCAGCGACTGCTCCTCCACACTGGCCGGTAGTTCATCCTCCAGAAGAATGGGAGCAGCAGTTGTCGTGGTCGTTGTTCTTGTGGTGGTGGGTGCGGGTGTAGTTGTCGTTGTCGTAGTGGTGGTGGTCTTCCTCGTCGTTGTTGTAGTAGTTGAGGTTGTAGTGCTGCTTGGTAGTTCCACCTTCTCGACGGCCTGCTCCTCCTGATCCGCAGCTGGGGCGACACACAGACCACCCACCATCTTGGCCGGACTCGTGCACTGGCAGCGTCCGAAGAGATTCGGGATCAGGAAGTCACAATGGGTGCGGGTATCGAACATTTGACAGTGGGCGTGGCTGTAGCAAACGGCGCCAGGATGGGCAGCTATTGGTTGTGTTGTTTGGTTTGTGTTTTTTATGTTTTATGGGATTGGAAGTTGCGAAAAAAAAAATTCTCGTGAGATCTTTTTGCCTGCTCTGGATTCAGAAGGTGTGTGTACGTGTATATTATAGAGGCGGGCGGGGGTTGGATGTGTTATTAAGTTAACCGTAAACCGAACTCCAAGCACCAAATGCATATTAAAAACTCATCATCATCATCATGAGGAGCCACACCAGAACATGGGCGAGAAGAGAAGCTAAAGAATCAGGCAACTGGGAGATGCAACAGCACCAGCAAAACATTAGCCCGCCTTCGACAAGCCTAATAACCGTCAATAAAGTCAACTGCAACTGCATCAGGCCCCAACGCATGGCCAAAAGAGAAGTGCAAAGACGCAGATACACTGGGAAAAAATCTATATTCTACCAGCCAATAAAATTCCAAAGAAATTATAGGCCTGCTATTCTACTACTAGCTCTACTCTAGCTCTTCATTTAAATTAAAGCTTTTAAGACACCTTTTGGTTGATTTTTCATTTAAGCAAAATATTTAATTTTCTGTGCAAAAAAATAGGAAAGACAGAGATAGCGAAACAGAACAAATGAAACAGATAGAATGGTACCCAAGGATGACGCTAAAACATCGGTGACGTCGCCCATTCCCATTACCGTTCCTCATCAGCATTCCACTCGCCGATAACTGGCGACTGCGACTTGCAACTGAAAACTTGCAACCCAACTGAGCTGAGCCACCTGCGTGTCTGCCACCGTACTGTCCTCCGCTGGAATCTCAGCTCTGACCCACTTTCCGGACTTGTTTTCACTTGTTTCGTTTTTGGCTTCGCCAGCAAACTTGCAACTTGCAACTAGCAACTGGCAGCTAGCAACTTGCAACTGGCGACATGCCATTTACCATTTCACTGGCCAAGCCTGGCCTAGGTTGAATCCAAGCCACCTGCAGTTGCCCTTTGGGCAGTGTCTGGAGTTTCATTTCCCCCTCGTGGGATTCAATTGGATTTGTATCTCTTGAGCTTGAGCTTGAGCTTGAGCCTGAACCTGAGCGATCATAAATCTGTATACCCTTTATCTGAAGACTTGATTTTCTCGCGGGAATTTCGGCTACAAAAGCATTCTGTCGGCATTTCACAAAAGGCTCCTTTGGGGAACCGGTTGGATTTCGAAGCTATAGAGCTTTGGAGCCGTGGAGCCACAATGTCCGGAGCCATCATGGCGTATACTTAACGAATGCACCACCAATGACACTGGCAGTGACTCGGATTGTCATTGTCATGGCCATTTCTATTCCGAATGCGAGTGCCTCAAACGTATCTTGCCGCAAGTTTGACACCAATATGGAATCAACTTGCAGCAGGAAGATATAAAAGGCGGGAATGGGGGCCAAGACCCCGATGGTTGGCCTCATCTTTCACTTTTATATAACAGCATGAGATGTTGGATTACACAGAGAACAAAAATGTCAAATTACATAGATGGCAATGGAATTTTTAAAGATTTAGTTAAAGATATCAAAAGTCTATTCTTGAACTATCATTAAACTTCCCAAACTTTTAAACCTTATCTGTTATCTCTGTAAAATATTTGTTTTTTTCCTCTGGACATATATTTGCCCATTTTGGGCATATGGCGACGCCTCTGTGCCGGCTAAAAACGATGATCGATCGGCTGGGGGCCAATGCCACGGCCACTTAGCAATGGCCCCAAACCACGCCGCCTTACTCCGGAGGTCTTTATGCCTCCATGCTGGTGGTGTGACAGGTTGCATGCAATGCGAATTGCTGCACGACTGCAACTGGTAACCTAACCCACTTCGATTACGGCTAAACTAGCTGGAGGAGATCTGGCTGCAAGAGATCACCTAGAGCTGCGAGAGCGACGCGTGTGAAAATTGCTCAGCGGATCTGTTTTTTGTTGCTGTTGTATCTGTTGGATGCGCGGCGGGGTGTTCGTTCGCATCATAAACAATAATTTCCATCGAAATCAGCATAAATTAAATCGCAGCTTCCTTAGTTTGTTGTCTTTGTTTAAGTCGCCGCCGGTGGCCGGAATTGCAAAACTGTGTCAACTGCCTGGCACGCACAGCTACAGATACAGATATATATATAGATACAAATATATCTGGCATCTGTGGCAGCATTCCTGTGGCTATAATAAGTCTATTTATGCCGCCAACTTTCATTAGGCCTTTTCCGAAGCGAAATAACAATAGAACGCATCAAAATTCATAGAGGATGACTTTATTAATTGAAGCTATTTGCATTTTCTGGAAATGGCAAATACGAGCTTACTTGACGGCTTTTCTTTCATTATTATTACGATTATAATTTTTTCGCTTTTTTTTAGCCGGATAGGCGGAAGTTGGCCAAATGCCTGTTCCACATAATTTGCATGCAATTTGGCATTTGGCGCAATTTAGTTTGAAATGGCCATTCAAGAAGTATTTTTTGTAGTTTTCGTATATTTCTCTCTTTTTTTTTTTGTTTCTAGCCGCAAATTAACACAGTTTGAGTGACTGAGTTTGTGGGTCATGCGAAATGAAATGGAATTTTTTCGGTGGCTTTGCTTAAGGTGTTTTCTTAACGTTTTTTTTTCCACGTTTTTCCCCGTTTTTGGTAGCAAATGTCGCAATGGAAAGTATTTTCCCTGTTTTTGGTTTTGTGAAGGTGTTGAGGTTGAAAGAAAGTGAGCTAGGTTCCCGAGAGTGACTGGGAGATTTCCTCTGCCTTATATAATATAAATAATAGCTATAATTGTATTTTAAAAGAAAAGCCTTTATCTCCAAAATTTTCCCCTGTGTATTTCCACTTCATCGACACCACAGCTGTTCACTTTTCCTGCAACATTGTATACCGAAGATTTGCATCTCCATCAGGCCTAACAGTTGCAGCTTCCACAGTTCTGTCCGTTCGTGTGCCTCATGTGTTGTCCGGGCTATCGGTTCATTATCTGCGATATATATATATATATACATATATATTTGGCATACTTTTTCTCGCATCACGTAAAACGAGGAGAGTGGAGTAGAGTAGAGTTCTTAACTCGATGGCTTTGGTGGACTTGTCATATGTGTGCATAAAGATTCTCATAACTCATAAAGATCGCCGACGATGAGAGGAAGTGGCCATTGTGCGAGTGGAGGCTCGTTAAGAGCGGCTGAGCTAAGCTAAGCTTCCAGGCCAAAACTTATCTGGCCTAAGAATAAGATGGCCACAAAAGAACCAATCCCGAAATGGGCTTGGGCTCGGATGGGTTAAGGTGCATGGGAAACTGGAACAAGTGGCTGGGTACTGTGTGTGTTAGCCAGCCAGGGAAAGCCTGACAAGCTCACAAAATCTGGCACACCACTTGCTTCACTTGACCCGCTAAAGACAGAGACGGATACAGGGGGAGCGACAGAGACAAGGCTAGAGAAACTAAAAGAGATGGCTATAGGATAAAGTGAATGGCCAATCCCCAAAAAAAAAAACAGATATGTGTGCAAAATTTTTGTCAACTGCATACAAAAGTTTTGTGGCTTTTCTTTCACGGAGAATTCCAGCGATCCATCTTTGACTCTTTCTTCTACAATTTTGTTCCCCTGTCTCTGTTTATCTTTGTTGTTCTGTCTCTTTCTCACTGAGAACTAAGTGGACTTTCATGAACTTTCTATTGCATTGGCGGCTAATCAGTGCAATTTAATTACGTTAGTCGAGGCAATTAGCCATGTAAAATAGCCAAGATCCAATAGATACAAATCGAAAGAGGGAGGTCAGATGGGGAGGGAGGCTAAGCCAGCAGGAGGGGGGACTAGGGAGGATGGTCTGCCCTGCCAGGATGTGTCTGGTGAAAGGTTCAGACCGCTCTCTTGCTCACTCGCCTTCTTCTCCTCTTTCTTTTATTGTGTTTTTGGTGAAAGTATCTCATAAATGACTCTGGCTGAATGCCTCAGCCCCTTGTTGCCACTTCTTGCACTTGCCACAGATACACCTGATTCCTACTCGCCTCTATTTGAATTCCCCATCCTACCCAGCTCCTCCTCTCTGGCTATAGAGTTTTGTCATTACAATTACGTTTAATTAAACATTAAGCTTACTCTCAAGCAGCTGTCCTGCCACGCCCACTGGCTCATATATATTGAGTTCTTAAGTTGTATAATTAAGTCGGAAAGTTGGAGGTAACTGGTGGATAATATAACCAAGAGAATACTTCTATAATTTCTGTTTAAAAAAGCTATGATTTAAAAGCTAAGAAGTACTCTTAAGAATCCAAGTCTTTTTTTTAATAGTTATACTTTAAACTGATTTAATTATATTGTTTTAATAAATGTACCTATTCTATAAGTACCTCTTTTTCTTCCTGTGTAAAGTAGAACCACATCAGGTGAATGCCAATAACACGAACTGCACCAGTTGCAGTGGCAACATGTCCACGATCGTGCCTCATTGCTCTGCTTTTGGCGTGTTCAAACAAATGCCACCTGACTGCAGGAAGGGATTAAGGGGAGCCAAGAACAAGAGAGAGATCTTAACCTCTTGGCCATATGGCCTCTCGATTCTAGCCAACATTCTAATCAGATTAACGCCACTTGGCGCCAATGTGCCAAAAGGAAGTGAACCGAATTCCAATCCAGATGGGTATCTTTTCAGGGCTGGCAGATGTTTTTTCTTAGATTTTGATTAAGATATTTTGGAAACTAACTAACTAAAATCGTATATATTAAAAATTGCATTATTAAAAACCACTTTCTCTTAACAGAAATTAAAATCTTTGAGGTTCTAAGATTTATGAAACCATAAAACATTTTTAATCGCAAGCTCAAGTCACTCCCTTATTTAATTAAAAATTTATAAATTTTGTAGGAGAAAATAATGGCCATTTCCATAGTGAGTCACTGAATGAATCACTGGCCACCAACTTGATTTATTTGAAAAGAACTTAAAGTGAGTCACTGGTTTTTAGGCCAGAGCCCTGCCCACAGGGAAAATGTAGTTGCATCTTCGGCTTTGGGGCTGGCATCTCGAAGTGTATCTTTCACACATCGCTCTGGACAAAAAACACAGGCAAACGAACAAACAAAAATACAGACAGATACGAAACACAAACAAACAAAGACAGGCCCTCCTTCAAACAAAAAACGTTCCAGGTCGAAAGATCGAAGCTGTGGTGGAGCCAAACATTTACATTTTACATTTTAACGTGTTCTGCAGTGGCTGGGATGGCTGCTAGCCAGGTTGTTAGCCAGTTCTTGGAAAATTAACCAATTATGCGTATAATTAGTGACACGATTGTCTTGTTAGGCTGGGGCATTTTCATTGTTATTGTTATTTCCATTGGCAATGCTATTGTTATGCCCATGTTAATTGCCAGTGTCAAGCGGCTAAAGAAAGGAAAAATCTCAGTGCTACAGAAAAGTGTTAACGAACGACAAACAGGACCAGTACTACAGATCAGAGAAGAAAATCATAAGAATATAATGTGGCAGAGTGAAGTTGCATTGCGTGACATTCCGAGGGAATACAAGAAATGATAAGCAATCAGAGTGAGGATTATTAGTAAGCTGTCGTTCGTTTATTGTCGTACAATTCACCAAACACCGCACCATAAACATGTTAATGATATAATTTAGAATGTATCTAGTGTTGTCTGTGTGGAGGGATGCCATGCAATCTGTCCATTGGATTAGGGCCACAAGAGCTGGCCGGGAGTGGCAGTTGCCAGATACTTACGTCCCAGACAGGTGTGCTTGCGGAACTGCAAGAATCCCTCGACGCACCGACAGGCTCCGTCCAGGCAACTGCTGTTGGCCACCTTCATCGAGCACTGTTCGCTCAGTTGGCAGTCGCCGCCAAGTAGCTGGGCTGTTGGCCAAGTTAAAAAGTACACAAAATGTCCATCATTAGTACAAAATTATGGTTAATCAGTGATAATGATAATCTCTTCCATCTCTTAGGCAATTACGGAATATTTTAGAGAGTATTGATCTTTAGAATGTAAGGATTTCCTTTGAAATATCACACATTCTTTAGTTTCATAAATTTCAAAAAAAGATATTGTCCAATATTTGTTTTCTGTGTAATGCCAGAGAGAGAGAATGGCTAAAGAGTTGTGTTGAGTGCAGGTAACGGTTCTTTTGTGGACAAACACACACAACACAGATATCTCCGCCCATTGTTTGCCCGGCAAACATTCTGTACTCCCACTTTTGGGGTTAGCCAAAGATTGACTTTGCCTACTTACATGACAAACAGCGTTTGGAATTCAACTGGACGAAGTAGGGGGCGCACTCGCAGTAACCCAGGGCGGAGCAGCTGCTGCCCTTGATGAAATCCGTACAGTCCATGTCATGCTGGCACTTGTCGCCCAATTCCAGGGCTCGACTGGCGTCCACGACTGTGAAGATGATCAGCAGCTGCAAAGATATCAAAAGTAATGCTTTAGTTTTGAAAATAATGGGGTTATGGGGTTTATGAGGTTGTCCCAAATTGGCTTCTCAATCAATCCTAAAACCCCCTATGGCTTAGCTCAATTTAAACTGATTTGCATTTTGAGTACTAGAGCACCCATTAAACCACTAATCATTTTCAAACTCAGAAATGACTTAAAGACTCTTTTCCTCTGATAAACCGGACAGAGATCTGATCTGTTATTTATTGCATCACTTTATTCTTTCAATTATCCAGCTGGCTTTGCATAAGCCATGATTAAATCAGGCATAAGACCCTAACCCAAATGAGCCAACAAATTGGCCGGCACAGTCTTGACCAGATCTTGTTATAATGCCAAACAAATTGCCCGAGACCACGAGATCTTTTCTCCGTTCATCGTTCGTCCGACAAAGAAATAAAAACCGTAAAATCTTTAGTTAATCGTAGTAGATCATACCAAGAGCTGGCGGCTCTTTTATGAATGAAGTGCGATGTGTGTAAGTGTATCTTACAGCTACCTAACCGATGTATCTATGTATCTTGGTATCTCGACGCGGGCTTTTTGGTTTTTAGTTTGACGCAGACACAGTTAATGTTATATCAGATGCTACCACGATAACGATACCCCCAGCCGGAGTTGTAAGACAAAATTAACAGTTGCCTGAACACCGAACACACACGCCCAAACCTCTCAAGGTGGAGCAGTAGTAGGATCTATAATTAAAAAAAAAAAAAAACACAAGAACAAAAAGCTAAGAAAAACGAACGGAAAAATCACTGCCAAGTGCTGTTCGTGTATGTTTTTGGGTATGTTGGGGCTCTCCTTCTCGCTTTTTTGCAGTTAGAACTGGCTAATAAATAAACTGAATTTTGCGGCCAGCCCAGTTACAGATACAGATACATATCCCAGAGAGTGCAATGTACTTTCTGCTCATCGCGAATGAGCGCCACACGCCATTAATTACGGCCCTGACTCTGACTCTGACTCCGACTATGCCTTTGGTATTATCTAACCGAAACAACTGGGTTTTCGACTTCTTTTTTGTAGTCGTTCTGGCCTTTTGCATATGGCGAAACGGTACTAACTCCCCCACCTTCAGGGGCTTTTGGCTTGAATTTGTTAACGCATTAAAACCAATGATTACATAAAGTTAGTCTGGGGTATTCCCCAAGTCCCGGCTAATTGGTAAGAACTCTGCGATTTGGATTCCAATTCCACAGTCACGCAAGACAAGCCACCCGGACCATGGAGTTGGCTTAAATCTCTTTGGCAAATTGTACAAGTTAAGACATTAAAACAACAGTTAGGATCGTTTGGTGGAAGGCAACTTTGTTGGCATTGCAAGTCACATTTTGTTGCCTTGATTGTGATAAATGGTCATGTGAAAATTTTCGCCAAGAAAGTTTGGCAATTACAGGATGAATCTCTGAAATAAATTGTTCACAAAACCAAAAATATTATCACTTTCGAAATTCTTCTTAATTAGAGATACAAAATCCAACTCTAATTGATGTTGTGTTTTTTTTGTGAATAGCAAACTCAATGCACTTTAAGAACTGTTCAAATAAAAGTAAATAAATAAACTACATCTGTAATCCCCATTCAGAGGTGTTTCTTCTATGGGTTTCGAGATCATTTCGCTACTCATTCGATGCTTGTCTAGTCAAAACAACACTCATGGCCCAAAGCAAACCCTCAAACCATTTCCATTTCCATTCAGAGCCGGAGGTACCGCAGTATCTTGGAGAGCAACAACAATACAAACAAGATCTCTCGAATCGAATGGGGAAAAGTATCGAGAAGATTGTGGCACCACAAACGAAATGAAACCGTTCAAACTCCACTCAACAAACGGCATCAATAAAATGTCAATAAACAGGGAAGAAATTGTTTAATTACGCTTTCGAGTGGCTTTTGAGCACGAGATACAGATACAAGATACTCATGGAATGGAGAATGGCTGTTGACCATTAAGAGTGAGTCTGTGTGTATGTGTGTGGCTTTGATTTGACCCAATAAATAAAGGCCAAGTAGTAAGTTAATGTTGGCTTATTTCTGTTTACTTTTTAAAAGGGTTTTTCCAAGCTAGAGTTCAAGGAGGAAGGAGGAGTTTGTTTTTTTTTTGGTTGCAGGAAGAGTAAAGAAGGAGGCTAATAACCGTCAGGCCATGTCCACCCGGCTATTTGTAATCCTCCGCCCGGTCATTTGTCTTCCAAATGCACACAAGCCGCAAAAAACAAAAACAAACAAAAAGTTTAAAAACTATCTTGGCAAAATGTTGCCTGCAGATGGTCTTTAGAGCTATGGAGCTGCCAAAACACCATTCATCAACCGGGGCGAACTGACTCGGCTTATTTATTTTTTTGTTTTTGGGGTTTACGGCCAGACTGGAGAATTTCTACAGATTGGACGGCATCTACGGCATCTCTCTGTGCTAATGAAGACCCGTTGCAGTGGCATTTTCTGGCCAAGAGCTGCAGTCATTGTAATTTAGAATCGTAAAAGAACAGCAAGCCAGAGCAGCCGTTGCAGCATCAGCAGCATCGGGCAAAAAAAAAAAAAGTAAATAATTTTTCGTGTTTTACAAATTACTTTTGTACTTTTTTAATGATCGTCCGGCGCCAGACCGTCTGCTGACCTTTAACCGGGCGACCAAATGCAGGAGTGCCCAGGTGCCCCGTGTCCGTTCTGGCTTCATCTTGAGCTTGAGCTTGAAATGGGTTGAATGGGCCGGCCGAGGGCAGCGGCCTGTGGAAAATAATAACAAACAACATCAAAATGGATAAATTGTTTGTTGGCCAAGAAATTTTCTTTCCCGGCAGCCCTCGGCGAATAGGTTATGGCCAGGCTTAGATTCAATTAGCCGAGAGGTATAAATAATAGAAAATATAAGATGGGAAAATATAAATCAATAAAGATATCTAGAAATTTATGAACCTCCTTGTATGTTTAATAACAAATTTTTAAAAAACTTCTAATAAAAAAACTTTTTTCATAAAATAAATTAATAGTATGATTAGCTCAAACTTCCTTTCTTTTTTAGTTTCTTCCTGGAATCCACATATAGCCCAGAGATTCAATAGAAGCATCTATTAATAGGCAAACTAGTTCCCATAGCCACTGCCATAATGACTCTTCCCGCAGTAATAATGATTAAGTGCCGGGCAATGAAATTTTATGAAGCAAATAATTCACTAAACTTAATGCTCCATCTTGTGATGGTGATTTTTTGCTTTGCCAAGATTTCAAAAGGGAAAAACTCCCACCTTTTATTAGATTAATTTGCCCACATTACTCAGCGGCAGTAGAAGTGCGACCCCCAGCCGGGTCCCCGACTTCTCCGGCATGATCTTCGACGCCTGCCTATCCATCTATCAGCTACAATTTGACCCAATGGCCGACTTCACAGCTCTTTAAAGGCATACACGCTCCCCAGTTCACGCCATTCGAAGTGAAAAGCGGCCCACGATCAGCCCACGCCAGGCAACAACGAAAAATAAAAAGCCATCATAAATATAAATTGTGCCAAAAAATGGAACTTTTGTTTAAGAAAGCGAAAAAGTGCTCAACAATGGGCCAGCGTGCTGACCAGGTGACAAACATTTACTTTTTGGCAGCAACTATTGCCGCTGTTTCTGTTTCTAGCTCTAGTCTTTTTGACTTTTTTGGAGCAATTTGAATTGGCAACGCCCCAAATGACTTTTGAATGGGGGAGGTTGGATGGATTGTCGGATTGATGATTCGGGGGTATTGAAAGATGGGGCTTTACTTACCGCTAAGAGCCGCTTAACCGTAAAAGTATTTCCATTGAGCATTGCGATCGCAGGTTGCTTTCTCGATTTGGTTGCTGATGTTTCGATTGTTGATGTTGCTGCTGCTGTTGCTGCTTTCGGCAGCAATGCCGCTTCTAAAGCTCCAAGAAGCTGCCCTGGGAAGGCTTTTCTCTGTCGTCTTTTCCCTGCTTTTGTATGTTTTTGGTGGATTTCGGTATTTTCCTCTGGTTTTTGTTGTTTTTTTTCTGGTGCTTTCCTGCCAAAAGGTTTTTTTTTTGTTGCCAAGTTGCTGTGTTGCTGTTGTTATTCCTCTCGTTGCAGTCGTTAATATATGTTTTGTGCTGTGGAAAGGAGTTACGGGTTTTTGAGAGGCTAGACTTGACTTAAACTTTGAACTCTGGGGGTCAAAAACGGAACGAAAACGTTTTTTCTTTTCATTTTTTTTGTTGTGAGTTTGTGGGCCAAAGGAAATGCGCCCCAGTAAGAAAACCAACGTAAAAAAAAGGGAAATAATAATAATAATTTGTGTTTTATTATTTTGCAGTTGCTGTGGTTAAAAGCAAACCGGCCGGCTTGCGGCTCACACGCCCCTCATTCGCATTCAATGGGCGCATTCGAGCGGCTCGGCTGTCGCTCCACTTTAAAAACGAATGACTTAGGCAACGAACTCGGAAACTGACCGAAAAGCCAAAAAGCCGAAAATCTGAAAATCTGGAAATCCGAAAATGGGAAATTAACACCTGAAGCACCTGAGCCAACGCGCCGCTGTCTAAGCCCTAAAACGTATTCCGTTTATGTTTTTTTTTTTCTTTGGCTGCCCACTTTTTTTTTGTCTTTTTGCTATTTTCACTTGCTGTGACGACCTTTGTCTGTCTCTGCCTCTCGCTCGCTCGCTAGCTTGCTCTGTTTTCTTTCCTTTTTTTTTTTGTGTCTTGTTATTTTTTTATTTTTTTATTCGGAATTTGGGTAACGTTTTTGTTGCCTCTGTCTCTGCCACTGCCGCTGCCTCGCTGTTATAAAATTTCATTTTATTGCAATGCATGAGTCTGGGCCCAAGATTCAAGACTGGGTCTGGGTCTTCGTCTTGGTCTTGGTCTGGGTCTGTGTCTTGAGAATTGAGAATGTGGCGCTCTAGGGCATTACCGTTAGGCGGCTGAGAAAGAAGAAAAGGCTTATATAAAACATCTACTAACTCCAGCATTTTTATAACTTAATAAAAAATGAGAAAAAAAAGGGAAGGGAAACTCGAGCTGACAATGAAGAAGGGCTTAAGAGTTCGATTTAAATTGGTCTAAGGTGAGATGGCCTGAGAACAAGTCAATGCACTTAAAAAAATCTTAATATGTATGTGGGTCTGGAAATTATTTAAAATATATAAATTGAGAGAGACTCTTCCTAAAGTCTTTATTAAGAAAACTATAAGCTTTAGCAATGGTTTTAAACAACTATTCTAATTTATTATTATTAAATTCCTTCCATCGCCAAAGTTCTTTGTGCTTATTTGCTTTTGATTAGCCAAGGGGCCAGTTCTGTCTTAGAGTTACTGTCTTAAGGGGCGTGTCCGGGCAATTGACCGGCTCAATTTTTTGACCCAGTCAGCTGGGGGAGATACTGATTTTCCGCTATCGATCGGCAGCATGTGCAAAGTGTTGGGCTGGCAGTCGTAAAGATTGCGGCTTTGGGTTGGACTCAGAGTCTATGGTACGTTTTTATTTTTATATTAGTTATTCTTTTTTTTTGTAGTAGTTTTTGTTTGCGGTTTTTGCGCTTGCGTCTATCGGTCGCTGGGTCGTCATCAATGCACATGCACACACAGAACCCACTCCGACTTAGACACAAAACTTAAGCCCAGGCTGTGGCTTGGCTCGGCTCTGGTTGAATCTCCGACCGAGACACTCAGACACAAGGTAAAAAGCAGCGCGATTCTTGCACCGTTATGCACCCAATATGGCGGCAAGAACCACCAAAGCACCACCTAACATGTGTGGTTGAGTTTTGCACAGAGGAAAATTTTTCAAAACTATATATTCCAAAACAATGGCAATGTAGAAGAAATTTTGAAAAGTAAGACTATTAGTCTATCTATTAAATATTTTGGTAAAATATGCTGACACTTTTAAAAAGAAAATTTTTTTTTATAAAATCATAAACTACATAAATCATAAATCACAGTGAAGCTACAAAAGCTCGATTCCTACCACATCAATTAGAAAATCATCCAGGCATACTTCACATGCCAATGGGTGGATATTACAAAGTTATTAATAACGAAAAAAGGTGTAAAATGTTTGGAATCCGGAAATTTCGCATTCCCCGATCAAAATGATATATTTTTTTCATGTGTGTGTGAGTTTGTGCAACTGCATCTGAAGCTGGACTGGCTTTGGGTGCATCTGCATCTGGCAGTGGCAGTGGCACTGCAAACTGCAACTGCATCTCCAACCGCATCTCCAGTAAACAGGACAGGAGAGACACGGCGACATGGGGTCTTTGGGGGATTGGGGTTTGGGGGCATGGGGGTTTCGGGATTGGGGATTGGGGACCGCGGACTGCGGACTGAGAACTGAGGATTGCGGACTGCGGACTGGGACTAAGAGGAGAACTGTCTTCACTTGACTGCCTTCCCATGTATGTTTGTCTATCTGGCGGCCGCTTGCTGTTTGTTTGTTGGTCGGTTGCTTGGCTTTTCGGTTTGTTTGTTTGTTTTCCTTAAGCTCGGCGTTTTGTTTGTGTGTGGATGAAGAGTGGAAGAGAACAGAAATCACACACCACCGATCCGATGGCCGCGCCTTAGTCCAATTCCAAAACTAAATCCAAAAATTCAATCCAAACTAGCAATCCTTGCTTGTCGGCCAGGATCTGATGGCCATTATTATTATTATTATTTCCTTTTCTTCCGGTTGGTATAATTTTATGTTTTAATAAAATTTGTTAGCTACCGTTTAGGTATTTATAATTATTTTTTGTAAAACACACGCGACGCGACACTTTTTGTCAGTTTTGAGGAAATATATTTTTGTGAATTTTAGTTAATGGATAGCTAAGTGCAGCCACATCACTCGGAGATGAGCTGAGCTGAGCTGGGCACGTCCGCACGTAACGATGGTCAGCCACGAACTGAAGAGGAGCCAGCCATCCACGGACTTAAAGAACCAGCAGCAGCAGCTACAGCAGCAGCAGCAACATCAGCCGCAGCAGCAACACCAACAGCAACAACAACACGAAGCGGTTACATGGGCAGCGGCGTCGACGTCGAAAGCTTTCTTCGGCTTCTTTTGGTTTCTTCGGAAGACTCAAAGTCAAGGCAAAGTCAGCGAAGCTTTCTTAGACACGACAAGTGCCGACGTCTCAGCTGCCTCATATTGTTGCTGTTGGTGGTGTTGCTGCTGCAGATGGTGATGTTGCTGCTTCATATGCAAATGTGACCGCTGCTGCACATGCGCTCGGCTCTGCCAGATCTGCTTTATTTGTTTCTTCAATTATGAGTGTCAGGTCTGCGGGAGAGTGCGAAGGCTCAGGACCAGGCTTAGATTAAGAGAGATAAACGGCGAATCGTTTGAACACCTACACTCGGGAATCGGGAATGGGTAATGGGGATTGGGATCGGGATCTGAACCTCAGCTGCCCAGCTTGTCCAGCCACTGCACTTGCATCGAAATTAAACCGTTTTGTTTTACAGTCTTTATTATAAACACAGATTAAGATATTATATACTATATAAAATATATACTATATAAAATATAATATATATTTAAGGTAGGTATAATCAATTAATCAGCTAATACATATCTTAAAAATGGTTGATAATTATCATATCTATCATAATTCTTATAAAATCGAACATACATACCTGTCTAAACCATAATTAAGTTTATGAACACCTTATCGAAGAAATCCTTTATAAAAAAGGACTCACCATCCATTTTAAAGAAGACCACCTGTAGTAACTATTTTGTTTACCGACTTCCGCCTGTTAAAGTCTTGAAATCGTGTTGCAACCGCAATAAGTAAAATAAAGCAACTGAAATCGGCTTGCGAAATGTTAAGAATAATTTCCCGAGTGTGTGGGGCAATGAATGGGGATACGAGATGGGATGGTAGATGGATGGAATGGTCGGATTCAACGCACTCCATTTGCCTGAAACCGAAAAAACTATACAAATGCGTCTTCCCTAATTGAATAATGCTGTGACTGCCCTCTCCTTAAGTCGTTCGAGCTCTTTAAAGTTTAAAATTATAATTTAATGGTTTTAAATTGGTCGCTTGGGGTGTAATTTTCGCATTTGAGTTCATTTTAAACAAACTGTTTGCCTGCTGTCAGATTTTCAGATTTAATCAGAGGGTGGACTAAAAAGTATGAGCTAAAAAATATTCCAAAAATGAATAGAAAAAACAGCATGAAAAAAGGTATAAACTAAGTCTTTTTTATGGTACAATTTATTCATTAATTTATTAAAACAAACTTTAGTTACCACCCACGCTCTGAGAAGAATAACTAAAGCTGGGTGTAGACATCGCATATTGTGCCAAGTGGTCACTTCAAAACGCTTTTGATCGTTTTTGATTTCACATTCAATTTTATATCTGTGCCCTCTTTGTTTTTCTCATTCTCTCCAAGGCAAAAACTAAAAAATTGCTTCGATTTTGGAGCATTTTCTGGAAGCATCTTAATTTGAAGATTTATTTCAAGCACCGGAAGCAGAGCACCCTCCTTCGCCAAAAAAAAAGGGAAAAAAGAATATAGAGTTGATTGTACCGAATCGAAATCACATATAATTTGAGAATATAGATGTGGATGGGTTTGTATGGGAACCTGATCATAATTGATACTGATTGTCCACGGTTGCTTTCTTAATTCTTTGGGCGGGAGCAATGGAACCCAGAGACCACAGAATCAATCAATTAAAGATTGAGGAAGTGACAGAGAGATTATGTTTGTAAACCAAAAAAAAAAACTTAAGGAAAGTCTTTAACCTTCTGTAAGGGAATACCTATTTTAAGCTTAAATGATATTGTTTAATAATGAAACTAAACCTCTAAGCTCCCACAATTATTTTCACAATTTGCCAAAAATTACGCGAAAAACCATTACGTTATATAATGCTGAGTTTGTGCAAATATTTGAAGGGATTTCCAAGAAACGGCCGATAGAAAAATTTCCGCTGGTGGGCTTTGACTCTATTTTGTGTTGAAAACCATAAAATTGTTATTAATGCTTCGAAAAATGCCGGCAGTCCGGCTACTCCATCATCGCATTAGGAACAATGAAAAGCAAAAGTAAATCGAAATCGTAGCAAAGTCGA